ATACGAGTCTTGGCAACTGATTCACAGCGGCAAAAGGAAACAATTAGGGCTGTCCTGATGCGTCCATCGATGAATGGGTTTCATTTTCGATAGATGACGAAATGGTAGGCTTTATTACCGTCGCGAAGGTCACACATCCCCCCCACCGTCACCACCACCGCATTCCCCAATAACAGGCGAGGGATTATGGTATACAGATAGAGGTTCGCACCCCGATCGAGGCAAGAAACGACGGAAGTGAAATCTCCGCCCTATCGCAGCGAGAATAGACTGAATCCGCCTGCACCCCTCCCCCCCCCCCCTCTTGCCCCCCTGGGTACATCGATGTACTATCGATATTTCAGATCAATACTTCCATGTTTTCGTAACACCCAGGGTGACAGCCCTAAAATAAATGAACATGGCTTCCTAATAGGTCAGTTTAAATAAATATTTGATGTAATGGTTCTTCGTTGTTTCTCTCTACGTCACAGTAGGCATCAGCACCGGCACCGGCCGATAGGTAGGAGAAAGTAATCGACCAAATGCGGCCCCAGGTACAGCCCTAGTTTTAAGTTAAACGGATCTGGTGCATGTCACCCGTCGTGTTCATGGGAGCTCCCCGTACAAAAATCTTTTAGACGCAATACGGTATGGGAACTTCCATGGTTCTCCCCTTGCGATAGTCTCTCGTGACGAAGAGAAAGCCTTTCATCGCGTCCACCATGATATCCTCCTCGTGACATCGCATGTTTTCTTTCCTGCCAGATTTTCCGGGTGCGGTTCATCTCATTCACGAAGGAAAGCAGAATCTCGTTCGTGTTGGAAAGTTGGTGTCTGGCTCCTTTCCTTTCGAACGCGGCATCGGATGAAATAATCCTCCGTCGCGCTTCCTTTTCTCCTCAGCCTTTCGACCGTTTCTTCCGTCCCCCGTCGACGCCTCGCACCATTTCCACTACGACAACCCCCCTCCCCCCCCTTTCCCCGTTGATATGGCTGCCTATGCAGATGACATTTCTCCTTTCATTTCTCCAGATTCTGGGTTCCATGTTTTAAATACCTGCTTTGACCTCTATGTCGAAGTTTTTATTGCCTCCTCAATCAAAAAGCTTAGGTGTGGTTTCCCTAACGAAAAAAATTTCCGCTGAGTTAAATGGGACGGTGAAACTGAAGTAAAAAAACGGTTTTCCCCCCATCTCTCAACCTGTCAGAAGACCCTTCAGGTAAAGATAAGGGGGAAAGGCAGTGAAATTCGGACGAACGAGGGGATAACTGTTGTATGGGTTCAGCAGCTCTGGGGGCTCATATGCCCCCTATTCTCGAGAACTGCAATCGAGAGGGATTGTCAGAGAGAATAAACTGCTTCGCCCGATCTATTTTCAGAGGCTTCTTCTCGTTTCCTTGGAGATAAGATGGATCAACCTTCCGCGTTCATCTCGAAAGAATCCTCATGGAGGAGGCGCAGCATCCATAGGCGGCGATTTGTCGAGAAACATGGAGGAGGGAGGGAGGAGAAGGGGGAGGGGGAGAGGGGGGGAGGGGGAGAGGGGGGAGGGGGAGAGGGGGGAGAGGCTCAGAGACAATACTCCTTTGCAAGTATCTACATACGCAATTGACCGAATCACCTATGAAGGAGAGGTCATATGAAGGTGAAAGTAGTTTCATATGTCACGGTCTGTAGGCTTGCACAAACAATACAACACGTTGATAGCTTCATTAATTAACAAGTTAATTAGTTTTTTCCCCGATGATACTTTAATGCTCTCTCTTGGATTGGACTATGCAGTCACTTGTATCTCAACGACGCCCTCTACACCCGATTAATAATTGCTGATAATTACAAATTAACATTGAGCTCTTGATGTCTGTTGAAATTTTGTCACCCGCGAAGCGGATCCCGCACGACGCGGGTATGGTCTAGTTCCTTATACTCATATCCTCTTGGCCCCCCCCCCCCCCCCCCCCCCCCCCCCNGGGGGGGGGGGCCAAGAGGATATGAGTATAAGGAACTAGACCATACCCGCGTCGTGCGGGATCCGCTTCGCGGGTGACAAAATTTCAACAGACATCAAGAGCTCAATGTTAATTTGTAATTATCAGCAATTATTAATCGGGTGTAGAGGGCGTCGTTGAGATACAAGTGACTGCATAGTCCAATCCAAGAGAGAGCATTAAAGTATCATCGGGGAAAAAACTAATTAACTTGTTAATTAATGAAGCTATCAACGTGTTGTATTGTTTGTGCAATTGAAAGCAGAGGAGTGTTTGTATGCTAAAACACCCTGAATTTGTAAAATCCGCAGCACTATGTTACTAGACCTTTCCCTTATTAATATTCCCTGATTTCCCTTATTGATAGAAGTTTTAGTGTTTGCCGTTCAAGTATCTTAAAGGTGGAGAAAATAACGCTCTTCTCGCGCGGAGATCGGCCCTACGAGCCTCAGTCTAACGAACGGAGAACTTTTCCTGTGCCTTCTTCCAGTTACTGAAACCTTCGCTTATGAATGCACTCTGAGGACGCGAGGAGATCTTTCTCTATGCTTACTTCCAAATTGAGCTGACCATATTTCCGATGAATTTTCGATCGATGACCAAGAATAACGTTCCCACCACTTCGGTTGAAACTTCCTCACCCCTATCGACCGAGTATGAAACTGAAGGCCTCTTCTCCAATTCTCTGATATCATCCTTCACAGATTAACCCCCGCTTCAACTAAGGTGGATTCTCGCACCAGAAGAGTCTTCACGTTCACCATCCACACGGGGTATTTTGACAACGAACTTACCTATTACCCTCTATTTTGTACCAATGACTTGACTTGCTCAATTAAAAATCCCAGTTGGAAACAACCATAACTTCCAGCTGGACCACAATTGCAAATTCAGACTCGTTCCAGCTGGGAAACGGCTGGAAAGTAAATTGAGATCCAGATTGGTTCCCAGCTACAATATCCCAAGTGGATCGAAATTAGTTTTGTTGGCTATTCTTGCTGTAGATCCACATATGGAAGCAGCTGAATTTCAGAAGTAAATTCAGCCGCATTCCAGCAGAAGGATCCTCCGAAATTGGAAATTTCCTGCTGGAAAAGGTTCTTAAAACCAGCTGCAATCTAGTTTGAAAATTCCAGCAGTAGAACAGCCGGCATCTAGCATTTTCCAAATCTTTTGCCAGCTGGAAAGGGTCCAATTTACGGCTTTGGTCCTACTGGGAAATTCCGGCTAGTATTTTAAACTGGGTGGACCACTCACTGGAGAGAATACCCTGAGAATTGATTAAGCCTACTCTTTTGACTTCCCCCATCGAGGTTAGAGAATGAATGAAGAATGGATCACGCACGAACGATTCATCTCTCACTCCCTTCGCAAGTGCTGACAGTGCCATTCGCAGGTGTGGTGTACATCGCTTGTGACGTGAAGTATGCTATAGACTCGGTAGTTTCACAAATATTTATACTATACCTGACTTCACGCGGTCAGGTGGACAGAGATCCCCAAGTTTAATATAACTAAGAGAACTTACAAAAAATTTGCCATGAATTGTTGAGGGAGCAGAGCCCTTTCTGCCAAAATTTTTTCGAGGGGGGCGGGGCCGCGCCCCCATGAGCCCCCTATGAATCTATGGTGGCATCCAGCATCCACCCCACGCGACTTTTATTATTATTATTTAATTTACTTTCACTCTGCTGCCCCGCAACGCACAATATCCCACATTTTTGCCTCTTATCGAAGTCCACGCAAGTCGGGGGAATTCTCATCTATCATACTGCTGCAATTTTGCTCTGGCTCTCACTCCCCAAAATATTAATATTTCTTCGCTGCTTTTCCATTTCTGTCTCTCAGGCTCAATCTGTTTGTAATTTGGAAATTTGGAAAGCTCCTCATCGTTTATCCTTCTTCTAAGTTAGAAGGAGATGTTGCACGGCGGTTCCTGCACCGCCTGTTTATAGTCCTCGTCTTTAGAGCGAAAAATGAATCCTTTTATCTCATCCTCCTGTCCACTATGTGAAACGGAAGGAACCATCATGCATATGCTCCTCGTGCGTCCCGGCTTATTCCCCTTGAGAGATTACCTCCAAAATATTTTGCAAACATTTTTCCTTAGTCTACGACTGGATGTTTTACATTTTTGTTTTGTTGCCCCGAAAAAGCTTTTTAGAAAGTAATTTTTCAGTTAGAATATTTCCTACTGACATCTTCCAAAAGTATCATTAACAAATCATTCATGCAACCTCATCAAATTCTGAGTCTCAACCGAACTAGATGTCTTTTCCATGAATGACTCGTGAAGATGGAAGAGGATTTTCAAGTTTTCTACACCCAGGAAAGAGACCGAGACCGTTTCGATAGCTTCTGGAGCATGCTGGCACGTACCAATGAGTCAACATCTTGCTTTTACACCTGGACTTCTCGGGACATCTGGACAAAATAACTATTTTCAGTTGAGAAGAAAGTAGCTGCTGCGAAAGTTCCTGCACACCTGTGCCGTTTCTGGTCTTTCTCCCCCACCCCCCCCCCCCCCCCCCCCCCCCCCCCCCCCCCCCCCCCCCCCCCCCCCCCCCCCCCCCCCCCCCACACACTCTCTCTCTCTCCCACTGCACTCAATCTCATACAGTGACATTATCGTGTCATATGAATACTTAATTTTAAAATTTAATTAGCATTTCTTCGCATTGTCCATCAAACTCTTTACCTATGTTAATGACATCCAATAAAGTAGGTTTGGAACCTAAAACTCAACGCCATTCCATTCGTTCGTTTCACACACTTTCGTGATTGTTTTGTTAACTCAACTTGTCAGCTTGTGTGTGAGTAGGAATACGAAGGAAGGTAACTGGACCCTAATGGTGCGACTAGAATTTCAGAATAAATGGAATGGAATGAATCAGGCCTGCCTAAGATTCCCAGCCAGCAGAATATTCCCTACCTACCGCAGTCGATAATTACGTCGCGGGGAAGTTCTATCCTCAAAACCGACAAGGAATGTAAGAAAATTAGGCTCCTTGCAAAATAAGGAGTAACGTCTAATAGAAGGTAATGGCAGCGACCTTGCTTTTCGCCTCCTCGATCGGCTTCCTTTCTCGTCTGAGGTTCTCCCGCAAGAGGAACTCGTAGCCGCGATACGGTTGGTACTGCATCGAGTATTTGCATTTCTCGCCCAAGTTTTGGCGTACGTCTGTACGGACGCTCGTTGAAAATATCAAGATTACGTAGAGATAACCCGAGAGGTGGAGTGATCCGGACTTCCCGACTCCGACCCAGAAGTCGAGGAATGGAATGCTGGCTGAGGAGGGCTTCTCTCCCGTCAAGCGACCGATCTGCTTCCTCGGTGGTATCGGCCGACTTAGGATTGGGGTACCACGCAAGCCACTCTGCATGCAGATACCGATGCACCTTGACCTTTTAATTCTTAGAGGGAAGCTATTTCCCGGCACCTATGAGCACGAATGACTCAGTGGTGGATCAAACCTCGAGTTCGAGCTTGTATTACCCAACGAAGGCGTCAGACGAGTTAGTACTTCGTACTAACTTGTTAGTAGTAGGTGCCGCCACGGTCCCATCATCTGACCTTTCTCTGGCGTACGCTGGTGCAAGCACATCACAGACACCATAAAATCCGGAATTTTTTGCCGGCAATCCTGGCAATTCAAAGTTAAGATTAGTAATTTTCCATGATAAAAAAATATCACAAATCCACCTAAAATCACTGAATTAGGGCCAAAGTCACTGTAAGGTCAAAGTCACCGTCGGATTTTTCGAACATAGGTTCATTTTCAGTTTTCAATTTAGTTTTTTTGTTTTCCTTCGGAGTACCTTATGTGCCTTTAACTACTAAAACCTGGATGGTCATGTGTTTGTTTCATCACTTCGTTCCCAAAGAATATCTTCGAAATAGCGGGTAAAGACGGAAAAGGCCCGCAAAATTTAAGTCTCCCTGCCAACCGGGATCCACATGGATACAGGGAGTGAAGGTATGTAAAACGACAGAACAACAGAGAACACTCACGATCGATCACTTTAATAAAGGGGTAAAAACCGAAGGTTCGGAGACGCAAAGCCTCCTTCTTCAGAGAGTAAAGGATTTAAACGGTCAAATTTTTTCCAACCTAATTGTTTTCCCAAACTTTTAAGATCCTCTACTCCTTGAAGAAGGAGGCTTTGCGTCTCTGAAACGTCGGCTTTTACCCCTTTATTAAAGTGATCGATTGTGAGAGTCAAAATACTTTGCTTAATTACTATCACGTCTTCATGAAAATACAGAGTATTGTTGTTGTTCATGTTCACGGCGCAGCCAACACAAATGGCTAAAATATATATATATATATTTTTTTTAGCAGGATCCATTTGACCCAGAACGGGAGTTGCAAGTTTAAAGGGTTAAGATAAAAGACATTCGTGCCAGTCATGAGCCTAGGGCTGCCTGTGCTGCAGTGACACGCTCCTCGGCCCTTATACAGGACCGTGTTTGGGCGCCCCCGTCCGAGTCTACGATCATGTGCCATTCCTGCACCGAGCAGGCAGGCATACCCTTCTTCTGTGAACCGTCATTGAAAAAGTCCGTTATCTTATGTGCTTGTCAGCCGCCAGCAGCATGTCGCGCTTTTAAAACCACGAAACCAGGATTGCACGGTAATGCAATCCGTAAATTTATGCATTGCGTTAGCTGTACATGAAGGTCAACGAAACGCGAAAATCCAAGGGGATACAATAAAAAAAGGACAACTTTTTCCCTCCTGACTGCAGGTCCCGAAATTACCTGATTATTTGTTGGTCTTTGTGTTCGTCCTAAACCTGGACCCCCCACCCACCTCCTCCCCTTCCATCCCTCTCCTTGATGTCATATTTATCCCACTGATTTTCTTGTGCTCATTGGGATGTCAGTCCAAGGGCCATTGTATCCCATTCAACATGCATCATTATTGTTCTTATTCATTTTTATTCACTATTTCTTGAGTACATCTTTCGTTGTTGATTTTTCCCTTTTCCTCCTTTGGGCTCAAATTCTGCATCGAGAGGGATAGACTTCTCTTTGGCTAAGGCGCTGATGTCGGTTATATGTTGCCCTTGGCTCATTTAATGCGCGAGATGACGACACAAACCATCGAACTGCCACACCCAAAACCGGGATCCTCATGGAGGATACAATAAGTGAAAAAAAAGAGTTAAGCTAAGTGGCAGGAGAGAGTTTTGTCACGAAATACTTCGAGGGAGCAAGACTCCCTTCGGGTTATCTTCAGAGTGTTCAAAAATAACTTTTTTCAATCCCGGGGAGTATCTGTGAGTAATTTGAACGTTTTTCACGCGTCGGTCAGTTGATGGTATATATATCATCTCGCAGCGTCGTCACTCGCTTACTGCTGATCTATTGCATATGCATCCTTGGGGAAACTGGAACCCATACGTACAGGACCAGCCCTAGCTATTTCGACTCTCAATGCTGTCGTCCCCCACCGCCACACACACACACACACACACACACACCACACATACACATATGATTAGGATAAGCTTCCATTTTCTGAAGTTAAACTGAGAGTGGCATCCATTATTGCTTCATTCATTCAGTCACGTTTTGGCGCCCCTGGTGAATTTGCACCTTGTGCAGGGGCACATGTGGCACGTACCTAAGGCCGGCCCTGCATACGTCTTTAGTGTAGACTCAGCTGAGATGGCTCAAATCCTGCGGTGGCCCGAGAGAATGACAAGAGGGTGAGCAAAAGAGAGCTCCGAAAGCAAGTAACTGCGGTCGAGAAAGCGAGATTGTCCCTTCCAGTTGTTCTAAGTGGGCCTGAGGTCGGTACAGATCGGATGGTCCACCGATGCAACGTTCACTGGGATTCGAGGACGTTTGCAGACGGCCGGCCAGTCCTTGGGAGATTCCGTAGGTGTTGGCGTGCGACATCAACGAGTCACCCAGCAGTACGAAGTTCGTCCCGGTACGGCAACCTACTCCCTTGGTCCTTCACCCAGCCCCCCATCCCTTGGTCTCCTGGATGAGTTTATTCGAAGTTTCAAAGTAATGATCTCAACCCTACTAGTGGTGGAGCAACCAGTGCCGTGCCTGTGATGACTAATGGAATGGGATATCTTCATTCAGGCTAGAACTTGACCCAGATATATGTCTGGCGTCCTATATGTCGGACGGCGTGCAGAGATGCGCCTCCGTGTAGAACATGCGTCCTCCATATAGAACGCCATGCATATCTGGGTTGAGTTTTAAGAGGCAATCATGGTATCAGACGTCTTCCCCGAGATCAATCCATACATGCAAGTAAAGTTTTCCTTTTACTCAGCACTTTTACCTTTCCAGTTTCGAAACTTTTGTGCTTTCAAATCAAATGGATCCGAAAGAAAAACTACTTCTTTGTGATGCCCTTTGAGGTAGACAAATAATTCGGCACGAAACAGGAAGCAAAAGGGCAGGTATAATCAAGTTGCGTTGCTGGTCTCTCTTCTGCAATGCATCTCTAAAATAATCAAGCCGCGAGTTCCAGGAGACTTGGACGTTTGCAGCATAAAATAATCAATTCCACCCCACCAGTGATTCGAAAAGCAGTGGTACTTTAGGTGATGATTCGGGGGGCTTCTGTTGAGGGGGACCACGACGAACTAAAGTAGGCATGACGTGGTCGGCTCAGGAGCTCCATACCGAATTAATCGCCGCCCGCAATAATCAGGACCGCAGCAGGCATTATGTTTCTAGGCCAGGGTGACTATCGATGAGTTGGCTACTGGAGTGGCAGCGGCGAGGCCGGGCAATCCGATGTTTCCAAGTGTGTCGGATCCCGTCGTGCTACTGCCAGACCTATCGATCGGCTGGCCACCAGTCATAGCGTATTTTTGACGGAATGCATTAGGGGCAGACCAGAAGCGGAACCAGGGGTTAAACGAACTAGGCGACGGACTTCGGATATTAGGACGAAGTTTAGCTACAAGAGGCTCAGTATTCCACCTACTGGGCTAGAGTACGTCACCCGGGATCGCGAATTCTGGAGGATGTTATTGGATGCGCTCGAACCACAAAAACCATAAAGTTGGGATAAGTGGTTACCGGAGTTTTCTTCCCGAACAAAATGATCATGGACAAAATGTCGCACGCACTTTTGGCCGTTCCACTACAATATTTCGTCGCAGGCAAAGATAGTTGCACGGGGGAAAGGGGTGAAAGCAAGGTGAACGAAAGGGTAACAAATAATAGGGCTTCTGTGTACCTCATGGGTATCAGCTGAAGAAGGGGAGGCAAAGACATCTAAAAGTAAAGAGAAGCTTGACTATGAAGGGTATCTTTATACTATAGAGAGGCGAAGTTTCGATAAGATAGCATGGCGATGTGAATTTCGAACCTCTAAGGGTAGGATGCACACAAAAAACGACGGAGTGGCCGAGTCCGACCACAATCATGCACCCAGTTCTGATCGTGTCCAAGTGGCAAATGCAGTCGGGGAGTTGAAAGCCGCCGCTTAAAATTCGTAGGAACCCACGCGTAGACTTGAGCAAGCTGCATCTGCTCTCAGCCTTTGCAATGCCCTCGTGACTAGGAGAGTGCGACGAAATAGTGCAGCGACGTTTCGTCCGCGACGAAAGCGCCAGTCACGGGGATAAGTGGCTCCGAAAATGAATGAATTAATATAATTGTTTCGCAAACACTCCGTCATCACAAATTCATTAAATAATTTTTAAATGACTTAACTTCCTGTAATAATAAGGTTGCCGATGTTGTGCAAGCAATTCACGGGACTGACGCATAGATGTGCAAGACGCAACCATTTACAATCCAGCGTCCAGTTACAGTGCTTGTGATTCATAGATAAGACAGAAAAGATTTAGAAACCCGTCCCTGAGACACTTTTAAAATATCACTTTAGTCCATTCACGTCATTCACAGTTTGTCACAGTACTCAGGAAATTAAAGAAAATATCGATAGCTGCAATTAACTGCATTCGATAAAAATCAGCAGAAAGTGAAGATAAAACGATATACCTGGCGAGGCAAAAAAAATCGCGCCGCTCTTTGAAATTTTGACACCTCTGAAACAGTAACTAGAATAACGAAGTTTTTTTCCAACATCCGAACATTTTTGGCCGTTTATCTCCAGTCGTTTCGGCACGCGAGTGATATTACAAAAGCAACTGGAATTTATTTTTGCACTCGCACCTGCCCCCACCCACTCGAAATGCCAATTCTTTTCAGGGATTTTCCCTCTGCACTTCAGTATCTGCTAAGCAGATCTCTGACTCGTCCTTACGTCTGGCAATTTGCTGAAAATAATTTTGCATCCCAGGATTATCATCTTGAGAAACAATGACTTCTTCCCCATAAACGTAGTTTCCTTCAGTTCCGGCTAGTTTTAGTCTTCCGCTTCTTCGCTTCCTGTCAGATAAATCGGTTTCTCGCAGCTTGTAAATCAATCTCTTACGATAGGCCTACATTTCTTTCATCCTTAATCAGAAAATTCTAGCAAAATTCTGCCCCACCCCATCCATTCCCTAATAGCATCATTTTTATGGGGCGCGCTCCACGCGTACCAACTACTCTACCGCCAATACGTTTCCTCGCGCAAAAATAAAATTCGAGTTGTCTTCGCGTTTTCGTTCCTGTGCTAGAGGAAAACGAACAAGAATTTTAAGACGTTTCAAATATACGTATAAGTCGTTGCAAATTTTTTTTGCCATGCTATCTGCTATCTTATGAACTCGAAAGAATCTAAAAAAAATGGCGCGTTTTATTTGTGTAACTCGGTAATTATGATCCGATTATGTGATGCGGTTCTGATTTGTGTCCCATCAAGGCATAACAGTAGAATTGGCCCTCAAGCCATGGAACTTAATGCTTTGAAAGAAGTGCTTCTGGATCTGGATCTGGTCATGAAGCTGTGAAGCCTAAAGATGGAAAATACCAGGGGTGTAAGTGGATTAAGACTTGAGATCAAGAAATTACCCATTGATAACAGGAAGACCCATCAGAATTGATCCTTCAGGGAATAGAAAATGTTCATTCCCTAATATTTCGGAAAAAAGGAAAACTCAGAGCTGCAAAATACGTCAGGCGTCATTTAATCAACCAAGGCACACAATACGTTTCATATGTCGTAATATGGACACCATACAGAGAACTGTTGCAATAGAAAGCTTTCCCATCTTCCCTCCTTCAGGGTACAACATCTGGAGATCAGTCACGTCTACATGGTCAAGATGTGGGAACTTCTTCTCAAGGTGCTGACATATTTCAAATGAGTAGATTTCTGGAAAGATCCCACTAGAACAAACATTTCTGAGAAGAATCACAGGCACAATAGAAAAGTCTGTCCTTGAGGGTATGCAGAAGAGAAATGAATCATAAGACTCTAGTAAGAGCAGCAGAGAAGTCTTAAGATCAAGATCAACACCATTGTGGCTTGAATAAGAACCAAAGGTCTTCAACAGTTCTGTAAATACAGCTTTAAATTTGGTTGCAATGATGAGTGAGAGTGGATGTACTATTTCCATTGGAGGTGATACAGAGTCACCTGATTTAAAGCGACCCCAGAGGGCATTCACAACCCTCACAAAGTGAATGAGGTGTTCCCGAGACACCACCAAGTCTGAAGTTTTGCCGAGCACAGCAAGACACCAGTCTAGGAAATTCTGTCGCAGGGCCAGCTTCAGTGCTGCTGTGCGGGAAGCATGAAAAAGATTCTCCAGAAACTCCAATATCAGGATCTATGCATGTCCATGAAGATTGGGAAGGCAGTCAGAGAAAAAGAAATTGCAACAGCAATCACATTTTGAAGTTTCAGTATCCTACAGGTATTTTGATCAAGCTCACCTGTGATGCAGTGTCAGCAAGAGGACTTGTGAAGAAGGAGAGAATCATCTTCAGAGTGAGTCGATGTTGTAGCACCTTGTAGTCCTGAATTCCCTGCACACCTTCCTTCAGAAGCTTCAATATCCATTGGCTGTGAGCATGAGATACCACCAATACATCACTTGCTTCCAATTTTTGACTCAATGCAGAGTAGAGGAATGTCCAATACCGTCTCAGATGGAAGTCATGAGTCTGTCCATCAAAGAGGATGTAGAACTCGGGAACAATTTTGACGTTGAGTGAGGGATGAAGGAGAAGGTAACGTCCAATGGGACGAAAGAGAGGGCGAGAAGGATCTAGGAGAATGTGAGTAGCTTTGACAAGGAATGATGCATGAAGGGGTGGAAGAGGATGTCTGGGATGAAGCAGAGCCATTCCCCTTCTGACTCCATTCACCACACCCAACCAAAGTTCCTTCTCTTTCAACCTTGATTCTTCCAGCTTGGCATGGAATGCAGCAAGAAGGGTTTCACCTGCAAGTCTCATCACTTGGTCTTGCGAGGCAAGGGAGGCAAAAATCACAGCTGGAGCCTCACAGGCAATGAAGCTTCCACATTTCAGAGGAGTCTCTGGCTTTAGCAGATCAAACAGCAGAGGGAGGAGGAACCGGGGATCATATATGTCCTCTGGCCTGAATGAAAATCAACCTCACAATTTAACATCAAATCATCATCATGCTGAGCAGTGATTGCAGTAGCTCAATTGTTCATACTATAGGGGTAATGCATTCACTTGCATAGTTGTTATACTGTATATACTGTACAATGCATTAACCTAAAGGGTGCATATGAGGCCCTATGAAAAAGAGTTTTGTAAATGAATTTTTAAGTGAAAACTGTAATGACTACAATCATGCAATGTGTGTCATATGAGAGTCCTGTCTTCACTCTTCTAACCTTTTGAGGAGTAGGTTACTCCCAGGGAATGATAGCATCATTCCTTAGAGAAAGGGTTAAAGACAAAATTATCCCAAAAAGTATAACATCATCTTTGTATGTATTATTTCCAAGCAGGTTCAGTGAAATTATCTTGCTTTTTCAATGAATTTGGAGTGCAATGCAAAGTTATCTATAAAAAAATTATGATAGACTAAAGGGCAACCTTTGTAGGCTTCATCTTCACCTTCATCTTTCATGCTGCTCCTATCTTGAAGTCATTTGATCATCTGTGAACTGTCACAATCAATAGTGCATTGTTTCTCTATGCAATTTAAAGCAGACTATGGTTCTCTTTTGCAGCTTCCAAGAGCTTACTACCAAACTAACACTTGCCATACAATTAAATTTTATTTTGACAAAAAAAGGTACTGCATAGACATTACATACAGAGCTGTAAAAGTACTTTTGTGATAATACTACCCCATATACTGTAAAGGCAGGTTTCACATACAACACACACTGAATGCTTGTACTGTTTCTGGTTTTTTAAATAAAATTCATTTTCAAAACAGAAAATTGATATTTCTTATTTTGCTCAAAGGGGCTGCACATATATTTCCTATGACTTCATCTCATTTTGTGAAATATCAGTTTTGGAATCAGGAAGCCAAAAGGGACTGAATTTGGTCCTCTGTTAACATCATTTCCCATCATGAAACTTGCATGCATAATATTGTGGATGGTGACTATACCAAAAAGTAAGAAAATCCCAGCTACTACTGATGCTCAAGCTTTTACATTTTCCCTGTGCAACTCAATATGCCATCTTGTCTGTCTGTAAACTGGCAGCATTCAGCAGCTAGGTCATTTTACAGCAATATCCTTTGCCTTCTTTAGCAATTGTGCCTGTTAGTTCAGAATGATTAAAGGCTTCCCCTGCACAATGGACTCTAATTACTGCCACACACAAAATTGAGAAGCTGAAGTCAGGTCACATGGCTGGTCATTCTCTGTGAAAATTGCAACAAATGATTTGATTTTTACACTGAATTAGCTCAGTAGAAGGGTCTTCACTGGCCATATGATATGGAGTGAAGTCTCATCCTGTTGAACTTAATCACCCAATCAGAAAGTTTTCAAGTTGTGGGATTACACGAGTTTGAAATATGTTGTGCTTCACACCATGACTGTGACTAAAACTGGGTCACACTCTTCAACACCTGTTTCATTCCTCAAGGAAATCGAGCAAGAGAATGAATTCACTGATGAATCTACACCAGACAGTAACCTCCTCCTTGTGGGTCCCTCCCCAGAAGGTTAAATTGGGATTACATAAATCTTGTCTATGAAAAGAATTATCCAATCCACAATCCACCAAAATCCAAGGACATACCCAACCAGCAAAGGAGAGTCTCTTCTAGTAAATCATGGGCTTAAAGGATTTAGCATATCCCATGGGGCTTTCCAGATCTGAGAACACTCTAACTAATTGTCCATTTAAGAAGAGACAACATTTTCTCCTCATTCATATACAAATCTTGGGACCTTGTTTCCCTCCTGAAAGTCTGAAGTGCAAGAGTTGAACATTCCCTGCTTTTAAAATTTGTTCTCACATATCATACCTATAGTGTAACCTTGAAGAGGCATTAGAATCATCAAGCACTATAAAAGAATCAATAAAACAAATCAACAGCAGCAAGTGAGGAGGATATGAAGCCTACTTTTGACAAAGAGAATATGTACACAAATCAGAACCACAATTGGGACATTTTTTCACATATGGGAAAGTGAAAATATGCTGTTTTTTAATAAGCTTTGCAGGAAATTCCTCACATTAAAACTAGGGCTGTCAATTAGATCAGATTAATTGAGCGATTAATAGATTAAAGTATTAATCATTATTTAAAAAATTAGTCTAAGTTAATGGCCATTCACATCATTTGCTTTCATGTACACCATGAATACACACTGTAAAAAAAAAAAAAATGTGGACTCATCAAACATCCATTGAATTACTATAGGTTGGGGCATGCTAGACATGAGATCACAAAGGTATAGAATAAAGCTAATGCAAGTGACACTACCCATTTCCCAAAACAGAAAAAATCTAAACAAACCTGATGAGTTTTTTTCGAGCCAAGCTTTTGGGCAGAGGAGCAAATGGATCAAGGGGAAGGTCAATCGGGAAATTTCGGGCAGTAATACCCAGTCTCTCTGAATCAAGCAGAGAGAGGACAGCATCTGGATGTGTCTGACCCCAAAGAGAGAGCTGCTGTTTGACAGCTGGTGTCTTGTTGGATCCTACAGAAAAGTGATTAGCAGCAGAAGATCCCCAAAGGATGAGGGAGCCAAGGGAGCCCACTGAGTGACCCTGGGATTCATGTAAGGCCAGTAACTGAAAGCATACCAATAACACAGAGTAAGTGATTGAACCCTTCCTCTCAGAAAGTCATCAATAAGGAAAGCTTCAATGAACCATTACAGAAATTCAAAAGATAAGGAAACCAAATGGTAATGTGTCACTTGATAGACTAGGAGAAGGGTACCTTGTCACATGACGTGGTCAATCAATTCACATTATGGGTTATGCCATCTGAGGGAGGGATAACAATTGAATTGACAGGGTGAAAGAAAGGAAATTACTCTGGAATAAGTGCAACAGAACAAATGAGAAAAGAAGAAATCTACAGGCTATCTTTTTGGATATCAAATGGCAGCCTCCTGTACTACCTGAAGCAGATGTCGGTCAATATCATCCATGGTAGCTTGATAAGCCACAAGGTAGATGGGGACAAGAGGTGCTTCACAACAAGATGCAGGATTGAACTTGGTTAGCAACAGGATGATCTTGATCACAATCTCTAAAATTACAGAGAATCAAGTTGAAGTGTGTGGAGTAAGAAATGACCAGAGGAAAAGAATTTGACACTGAAGACTCTCACCTCTTGATAGATGTCCTGTGTCATCCTCACCAATGAGGATAGATTCAAAATTAGGATGCCTTCTGATGGCTCTAAAAATCTGCACTTCTTGTAAAATCTCCAGGATATGAGGCTGGGACTCAGCAGAGGAGGCTATGAAACTAAGAAAGCTGGTGAATCGGCTTGGGGAGTCCAGATTAGCTTCCACCATGTAAATCAACAGGGTACCAAGTTTCTGCCTGTGCATTCTCAAAAGGAGCATCTGGAGATATGAGGAACCCTCAGGGGAGACCAAGGATCCCATGGCTTCCAGTAATTCACAAGTTCTTTCCTTACTTGTCCCATAGGATTTCTTCCCAAGTTGAAGAATAGCTCTGGGCACCAAGTTATTCCCATCCATGGATACATCCTCTACATCCATAGAGCAAAAAGAAAATGCATCTGTGCCATTGTATGATAACAAGGAAATCTGACATGGACAAACCTGGTAGATCCTTGATGAAAGCATCAACAATCTTCTTATTGTGTCTCTCTCTTATCTCGGACCAGACAAGGCCACATATGAATTTGTCAAGCTCCTCAGGCCAAGGTGAAAGCAACTGCAAGATACTGAACACATCAGGTCGATTGCAAGTCTCAATGTTCAAGTGTCTCTTCCTTGTCAACACCAACAGCTGTTCTCTTGCTTTATCTGAGTGTCTAAGGATGAACTTGATCAGTCGTTTGGGTAACACTTGACATGACAGAAGCACCTGGATCACCTGAGAAGCTGCAACACACATGAAAATTGATGATATTCTATTGGGGATTCTGCAATTGAGTACTCATTTTTAGCAGACTTTTTTCCAATCACTTCTTAAAACAGAAACAGAGTTCAATGCCACTTTTACCATTACTTAAAATGTGAAGCCACTCATAATTTAAGCAAAGTTAGTAGAGTCTGATAATTTTTACAAAGGATTCAGACATCCATGTATGGCTCACTAAGCATTGATGGAAGTTGCTTGAAAAGGGATTTAAAAAAAAACATACCTGACACCCATTTTCCAGCAATAAGCTGCCAGTATATATATGCCACACCATACATCCCAACTGCAGGGTCAAACTCAAGCAACATGAAAAAACTACCAATTATAAGATATGCTCTTATGCATTATGTAACAGATTTCCCTTTACAGGAATGTCCAAAAAGTTGCTTCCCATGGACAAATTTTTCCCCATTGGGAGCAAGCATTGTTAAAAAATTACCTCTGGCTAATTATGCACTTCTGCCTTATGAAATAAATCCAGGAGTAAACTTAATCTAAAGAATCTAACATAAGAGAATAAATTGCATTTTTATCTTGCTGTATATTTGAATGTGATTCCTATCATGTTTCTCCATTTGCTCTCTTGCAAATGTGAATATTCAATTATATTTTTTTTACAGACTATTACAGCTTAGAACCAGGTAAGCTATTAATAAGTAGATGACTGAAAATGAAAGGAGACAGATGGAGTTGGATTCAGAGAGGCCTAGCTGTAACTGTTCAACTTCTTCAGTTTAACTACTGCCTAAACAAAACTCTGGGTATTCTATCCTTTTTTTACTTTTTCTTTCTCAAGTAAATTCACACCCTGGGGAACTACATGGAGCCCAAATACTTAAGAAAAAAAGCTGCTTTTTAGGCTTATAGGTACATATGTTGTCATTACAAAAAGATAGAAAGAATGGCAGGATAAAAAGTGTATCCTAGTAGATGATGAAGTTTTGGAATTTTTGTATCAAAAGGAATGAAGAAAGCCATAAAATTCATGGCATGTTATTCTGAGCCTTACCAAGTTCCTCATCCAAGACACCATCAACTGGGTTGGGAAGTGCCATCAACCAAGATGAGAATGACTGATCCAAATCCCTGGGGTCTATTTCATTTTCTCGAACTAGTAAGTACACCTTGACAACATCTTGACTCTCCACATCAATAATTGGTCCAGGAACATGATTTTTCAATGACTCAACCACAACACGACTCCAAGCCTTCATTCCATTTGCAAGGAAGGAGGAGAGTTGAGCAATATATTTTTTTGATGCACCTTGACAAGCTGAAACAACCAGTCTAAGAAGGGCTGATACATCTTGAGCAGAGAAATATTGGACAGCTGAAATAATCAAAGCTGAGAGGTGTGTCAAAGCTCTCTTCTGCTGAAGTGACTCTTTTAATTCATCAAATATGAAATCTATAGCTTCTTGATACATTACTTTGGAACCTTGAAGAATTTCAGCCAGAAGCATCCAGGCTTCTGGGCATGATGATCCAAGAGACTGGCATAGATGGAGGAAAAGAGACAGATCGTGCAAGACCAGATACGAACTGCCTTTCATCTTCACTGTTAAAAGCAGAAGATTGAGAAGAAGCTTGATGAAATTGCTTTCATCTTTGTTCTGCTCTGCCATAAGACGAAGGTATAGATGTAGCTGATTCATCACCATCAGAGATGTAACAGAATCTTGTCTCTCTTTCAATGCCATCTCAAACCCAGACACAATTTCAAAGTTTGAGCTTTGGTTCAGGGAATATCGGTCATGGTTGATGAAGATCAGTTTGAGAGCCTCAGTTGGGTCTCTCCAGTCAGGATGGACACTTGCACTGTGTTTCCACTTCCCACACAGGGCATTCAAGTATGTCCGGAATTTTTTCATGGCTGGTGTAGATGGTAATGATGTTAGGATTTGCTCACAAAGAAACTTAGGATCTTCAGCCATGTGGATGGCATGACATGCTAGGCGAGAAACAAACTCCCACCCCTCAGAGTTTCCTTCCTCTTCAGAAGACAGCAAATTAAAAAGGGACATGATGAATGTCTCATTGGTGAAGGTTGGACCTGTGTCAGATGAGTCTTGCACAATGATGGTATTGTCCTGGTGCTGCACCTCTGAGCAGAACTCTGAAAAAAGGCAATACGGTATCAAATCTCATTCCTTCAATAGGCCTATTGTTTTGAATCGTATCCCAAGTATGCAAAAGCAGAGTCAACAATACAAGCCTTTTGGCCAAAAAATTACTAAAATTCTAAAATTAGGGCACTCACAATGGCAATTTTGAAAACATAAATGTACTGGAAAAATACAAGGGGTGTTCTTGAAGTCATGCCTGTTTAGTTATAACTGTCTTATAGCTTGGGCTGTTTTAACAGTATTTTTTATATATAGGGTGATAAAAAAAAAATGCTCTACCATTTTCTATGGGAGAAACGAAGTTTCATAAATGCAAAAAAAATTTACATTGGCTCTGTAATCAACATTGGACAATTACAAGGTTCCAAGATGCATGTCAGTTTTTTTTCAGCACCCCTCTTTAGGGCCATCCATCTTTAAATGGGCCTTGCCCATTTAAAGATGAATTAAAGATGCCTAGAGATGTATCATCCCACCTCAAGTGAGGTAATGATCTGTGCTCGCACCGTCTCAGAATTCAACGAGATTTCAGTCAGGATGCAAACAGTTGGATTATTTTGAGAATAGCCTGCAGACAAAAAAATCTTACGTCTATACTTCGAGCAGAGGCCAAGAAATGTGAGTTTTAATTAGATCATGGGGGCACAAAATGGTCCTCAACCCACAGATGCTAAATTCCTGACTACATGGCTATTATAATGTCACCACCCTGTTTTGATTGGCTATAACTTTTCATGGGACAGTTGGAAGCAGCTGATACTTGATGAAGAGGTTCATGAGTCTAGGAGGTTTTATCATATCTGCAAGATGGCACTGTATGCTGATAGAGGGTGCTTTGTTTTTTATCAGAGGGCCCCCTATCTTTGTGCTTTACCATTTTTTAGGTAGGAAAAAAAAAAAGTTTTTTATTTTAACCTTTGAACCTTAAATAAACCTCTCTGCCAAGTAGCAGTTATATCTGAGAGCCCTTTCAAAAGATTTGGTCTTGAAGCCAATTTTAAAAATAAGATATTAGTCAAAATCAGTTTAACCCTTTCATGGCTGAATCAAGAAAACGAATAACTAGGACGTTTTTTCATCGCTTTTTCTATTGAACAGGCCTAGCTAAAGACAGAGCTCACAGAAAATGCCACAGAAAAAACTCATATATTCAAAAACTGAATTTTTTTATTACAAAAATCATTAACTGAAAATATTGAATAACAGGCCATTGTTCACACATGGAGAGCCCCTAAAAGTTGGCCTTTGTCCCAATTTTATCCATCCATTCTTGCAGCATGTGGGCATATTTTTCCCTTTTCCAAAAAAAAAAGAAAATTTTTTTTACTTTTTTGTCCAAAATTCAATTTCACAAAAAATCAAAACATATCAGGTCACAACTTTTCTTCTTGATCCAGCTTGCCTGAACCACAACCTATTCGAATGAATGATACATCACCGAAGAGCCCTTTTTGAGAGCTATTAAGCGGTACCATATAAAACATGTTTTGTTCAATGGTAACCGCAAGAGCAATCTCAAGAGATACGATCCTTATAATGATCATATGCCATGAAAGGGTTAAGGTCAAAACTGGGGAAACTACTCAATGAATTTTAAGATGATGAAGCATAGATAATTACTGCATTGGAGGTGTAATGATCCACCAATAATCTTTGTAACAGGACAATGCATAGCTCAAGAATAGTTCTGAAAAAAAAAACAGGCAATCTTCTCAACACTTTGTATATGTTCAATATCAAGAGTTTATGAATCTTATCATTTTTGCTTGAATAAATGAATCTTACTTTCTCCCATAGAAAATGGTGGAGCGTTTTTTTTAAGTCACCCTATACATTTTCCAAATATTCCTTCACACACATGTGCTATGATTCTTTATCTGTTTCAGGAGTGAAGAAATGAGTAAGACAATAGAAACTAGATTTCATCAGCAAGTTGTGATTGAATTCCTGGTGAAGTCTAGTGACAACTTTTCCACCACAATTCATTGGATGCTTGCTGTGGTGTGTGGGGAACTCACAATTGATGTCAGCAATGTTCAGAGATGGGTTTCTCATAGCAAAGCTGAGGAAGTGGATTTTGCTGATAAACCTCATAGCAGTCAACCTAAAATGAAGCTCACTTGGTCACCCAGTGCTGGATAAACCTCATTTCAGCGGTTAGCATATTTGGAACTCACCTGGAACAAATTTCCCTCTATCATGATGAATCAATTATCTTCTCCACAGTCCACTTTACACATCCCAGATTTTTGGCCAATTCAGAGTTAGCCACATGACGGTATGCATGGATTAATGCATCCACTTTTGCTGTGTCCCCATCTGTGGAAACACTTGCCAGTTGACTGCTCTGGTTTATCAGAGAAGTCTGTTCCCTCAGCTTTGATGTGGGAAACCCATATTCTAGCATTGCTGACATCAGTGTATCCTTATAAAACACCACAGCTAGCATCTAATGAATTGATGTGGAAAAGTTCTCACTGGACTTCACAAGGAATTCATTCAAGGCTCACAGATGAAATCTAGTGTCTATTATCAAGCTCATTTCTTGACTCCTTAAACAGATATAGAAAAGTCAAAGCACGTAAGTGTGGAGGGATGTTGGGAGAAAATATATACCAAATACTGTTAAAATGGCCAGACTTATAAGGCAGTAATAACTAAACAATACTTATTGAAAACCCCTCATATGTGATCCTTAGTAAATTGAGTGATGGGAAGAAAGAAAAAGCCTCTAACACAGATGGTAGGCCTGGCATTGAACCATGCATTATGTTGGAAGGGACTGAAAACCAGTGCATGTGGATATAGAAGTTTAAAGAAATATTCAGAATCAAAGTCACTGGTCCCCATCCCATGGATTTCTTTTCTCTCTCCCCCCCCCCCCCCCCCTCCAATTTCTGGACTCTGTGGGGTTCTATCATTACTTGAAAATTTCCACTTTGGTACCTACCTTCTCATCACTACTTCATATATTCTCTATGCGCTGATACATTGTGAAGTCCAATAAAACCAGTCATCCATTGTAGAATCAATGCATTGGTGTACTTTGAGAGTACTACTAAAGATATAAAAACTAAGAGCACTGCACCACAACAAATAAATTGAACGAGGCCTCCATATGGAAATGGATGAAGCTGAATTTCATATAGAAACGCTCTCAAACCTTCAAGGTGGAGTGCAGAAGGAAGGAGATTGGAAGCAGGGTTTCCAATAGATGATGTTCCATTGAGGATATCTCTGGCTGCTCTGGTCAAGAGATGTGCACTCTCCATTCCAAAGCTCATCTCTTGTACAAGCATGGAGATGAAAGCTGGGGTGCACATTCCAAGGGAGGAGAAAAGCCTACTTATGATTGCCTGCTTCTCTTCTCTGCCATGTTCTTCTTCATCACCCTTATCATTCCTCATGGCCTGAAGGGCCATATAGATGGGATTCTCCATCACTTCCTGTTAGGACAGTATTGGAAGCTTTTACTTAGAGTTTTCCCATAGGAAAAAAACCTTAATTCAGATTTTACCACCCACTGAGAGAAAATTAATCCTGAATATTTTAATATTATCTGAATGTGGTCTTCAGGAAAGGCATATTTGAAGAGGAATAAATAACATAAATTCCTATAATTTAAAAATGTTAATTTCTCCAATGAGTCAGTCACTACCACTGAGAATTGCATAGTACTTAGTAGTTCCATCTCAAAAACAACAGAAGCTGCAGTGCAATGGAAGTGATAAAAAAACAGGCCTGCAACATATCCATCACTTATACACAGGACCATACTTACCCCATATGTGCCCTTAGGCAGTGCATTATGCATGCCCTGCCACTCTCATTACTTTTTGGCAAATGACAGATGATAAGTTTTAGGTATAGCCTTCAGCTTTTACCTTACCTTTGATTTAAATTAAAGCACGTTCTTGAGGAGAGGCCTTTGACTGCCACAAGGTTGATGATTGGTCCCTTTGAAGTCCACATCAAACAGCCTTAATGTAAACTGTAGTGATTTTCCATCATAGGTTTATTGCAGAAGGAAGTGATGGAGGAATTGAAGATGGCAGTGGACTAGTTACAGTGAATGCTTCTTGACTTATGTAAATAAAGACTTCCTGGCCTTCACATTCAGTCAAATTCCAGCAATACTATTTCTGCATAAATGCAGCATTCCCCTTAATATGGTGCTAGACTGAGAAAACCTCTAATCCAAAGGGAAAGTTCAACAGCACCTTGAAAATTTTCAACAAAACCCTCTCTCAACTCAAAGCAAGAAAGACCAGATGTTTCCTCCCTTTTGGGATTGTTGCTACAAAGAAACCAAAAGAGAAAATAGCAGAATTCTCATGCTCTTGCATTTTTTGAAAGTATCAAACTCTCCCATTCAGGGTGAGGAAGAAAAGGAAGGGAGATACCTTGTCTCTGATATAGGCATGAATGAGACTGGAGTCAGAGAAGAGGAGAAGGAGATTCAGTAGACATTCTGCCCACAGAGGATCACCAGGTTGAGCGAGAATTGAAACATTGGCCAGGCATTTGGACACAATGTTGGGATGTAATGGCACAGAATGAGGAAAGCAATCCTTGTAATCTCCCATACACAAGGATATGTTCCTTAGGAACTCAGCTGTGGACTCCTGATTGCTCTTTTCACCTTGGGCCATCTCCCACATTTGGTAGAGGACTGTTGGCTTGGGCATAGCCTGAGGATATAAACATGATTCAAGCCTCTCAAACTCATTTGTTGAAACTAGGGATGCACCGATACCAATCCAAAGTATCAGTATCGGCCGATATTCAGTGGATCAGCCAGGATCAGTATTGCCCGATACCTATATGGCCGATCCAATCCGATTCTCCCTTGACACATGCCATACTTGATGTGCAGCATGTAAATTTTGGGAACGTCTCAAGAAAAAACCCCCACTCACAATGGCATATGGTTCCTTAAGTCTGTCATAGTTCTTGTTAATCTCCAACTGATGGACAATGAGTCTGGGCACAGTTAAAGCAGAATGCAAGAGATTCGAGAAGGGCATTGTACAAATGGAATGGGCCAGAGTCATTCACATATGCATTCATTCCTTCACTTTCCCCCATTCTGTCCCATCTCCTGCCTTCCTGGGCTGACTGGTTTGTGCAGGTGCACTTTGTGCACACATCCATCCCACCTCTGGCTCTCCCCTCGAGCACCGATCCCAGTTGTAGTTGCATCAACTCCTTGATCCCTTAAGGACATGAGATGTAGTTCCTACTCCAACTCCTCTTCACACCGATCGTCCTTTGTTTGTAGTACCTATGTCCAACATATTCTCAGCTGGCCCAGTGAATGGTGGGGGAAGTTTTGGCTTATACTGAAGAAGTTAATTTATTGGCCGATGTAAATGTCTCCAGAGCTAAATAAATGACAGGAATTTTGAATGTTGGGTCATTAGTTTCTGAAGATTTTTTATTTCTTCCCTTCCATGCCACAGGTAGCATAAGGTCTACAAAGGTCTGGTCCTATATTGTGGTTTCACTTCTGACAGCCACTGGGAGCTGTCTGTATCGGTATCGGTATTGGATCGGCCAATACCAAGACACTGAGATCAGTATTGGTATCAGTATCAGCTAATCCTGGATCAGTGCATCCCTAGTTGAAACAAAGACTTCGAGGAATGAATATAAAACTAACCTGTTGCAGCAGTTTTAGCAGGATGTCCATTTTATGTGAGGATATGTTTGCAAGGAAGGACCTCACATTGCTTAGCATATGATGGACAATTGGGGGGAAAAATTTAACCAGGGGTAATGGGAGGGTGTGGGATGATGAGATGACCATAGAGAGCTGAGGAGGAATAAGAATCCTCACAGTTGCATCAGGATGATATTGCTCCCATGTCTTTTTCAGGCCATCCATATCCACAACATCCAATAGCTACAAGCAAAACCCATTTTCCATTTGCATTTATAACTTAATACCAAAAACTTGCTTGGTAAGGCCAAGATAAAAACTTTTACAATATCAAATACATTTTCTTTTCTTAACTTATGGGAATTAATAGGCAACCATCAACTTTGACATACAGCATCACAATGCGAGGTGACAAGTTTCCACATATCAGCTTCCAAAGGTCGAACTGTAAGTGTGAGTTTTGGCTGGAGGTGCTTCCAATAGGGAATCCATAGATCAGGACAGACTTTCAAAATGGAGCAGATTAAAGACCCCCACCTTGATAAATTATTCTGCATGGCCTAAAAAAAAGTAAGGTCATAAACATAAATGCAAGTCTACCAAAATTCATGGACTGTCTGAAGAGAAGAGTTACCTTGAGGATTCCAAGGATGACACGATTCTTGACCTGTCCTAAAAGGCCCATGCTTTCATCAATGAAGACAATTCCATCTTGTGAGGATGTGCATAGAACTCTGAGGAAAGTCTCAGTCAATTCTCTGATCCTTGTGATCACATGCTTCTTTTCAGATGCCTCTTCCAATTGGTCATGGTCATCTTTTTCATCCTCCTCCTCAATCTTCAAAATGGCAATCAGTTTGGTGAATCCAGTCTAGAACACTCTTCAACAGCCATAAGTTCCAGGAAAGAGCCACCACAAAAATGACATCACTGAATGTCATATGGTGGAGAAAACAGAGATGTTTCTTATGAACTTTTGGATTCAACTGGAAGAATGCATTACCTGATAAAGCATTTCATTGTAACCTGGTTTTAGGATGACTCTCTCATACATTCCAAACTAAATCACCTGAATCTAATAGCACAGTTTTGCAGAGACTGATGCCAATGTCTTGCATGAAAAGCCTTGAGATGAAGACAAGAAAGCCTTTTCACATTTTTCTTCATAGAAATACAAAACAGCAGCAAATCTTGTGACAAAGTTGGAGAGAATTGACATCAAACTTTTCCAAGCTTTTCATTCTCAATATCTTGAGGAGTATTTGAATTCTGAGAAGCGAGAAATGCTGGAATGAAGCATCTCCCTATTGTGGAGAGGTAGAAGCCTATTCCATTACAGGATGAACGCAAGTCTTATATGGCTGAGAAGCTGCAGTGGAAGAGAGAATTTCCTTTTTATAAGCAAGTATTATCAAGGGTATAAGAGTCCAACTGCAAAGTACTGACTATGAGCATTCCAAGTAAGTTCACTATTAAAAGAATTTGTAGCTCTCAGCATATCATACCTCATCTGTTTCTTCATCCCCAGAACTCTGTTTCCTCTTTTTTCCTCTCTTATTCTTGACCTTCTTTTGAATAGGAATCCAGGCTGAAGGACCTTTCCATCCATGAAGCTCCAAAATCCCTTTCAAAGTCACCACTGAAAATGTCTTCACCTTGATCGTCTTGGACACTGCCTTGTTCTTTAGGCATCCATTGGTTATGGTCTTTAATATGAGCTCCACAGATTCTTCAGAGTCAAATCTGAGACCAGTGAGGACTCGAGTCACGAATGCTATTGATGTCACAAAACAAAATTCCATTAATGTTGAAAATATTGATATGCAAACACATGCATTTTGATTTCAACAGATGTACCTCGCTTTGTGAGAAGTTCAGAAATGATGTGTCCATTGTGATGAGAAAAGAAGGCAACAAAGAAGTGGAGGAAACAAGTTCGGACATCATGAAGGTCCTTGCGATCACGACGACCTCCTGCAGTCAGCAGAGATGGATGATCAAAGTTCACATGAGAGAGAACCTGTCGTGCTGACCATACGCTCACGCACACTGCAGCTGAAAATATACACCTTCCACTTTAGAGTTCAAAAAGCCACCTAAACTGGAAGCGTACCATCCAATCATGTACTCCACTTACTGGAAAGAAGCTTGAGAGTCTCTTTGATGTGACCAGCTTTCCCTGAAAGACCAAACAGGAGCACTTTGAGATGTTGCTGCAGAAGTCTCCTGATAACTTCCTCTGCAATTGTAACATCGTAGGATTCTGTAGCCAGCCTGTGGAGAGCACACAATATCAGAATGAAAATTACAAAGGAGATTCACATTCCACCATGGCAGTGGTTCTCAACTGGTGGGTTGCAGTGGTCATGAGAGAACAGACTGAATTAAAAATAAGAGAGAAAATGAGAGAGACAAGAAAAGACAGAGATCAAAAAGTCAAATCAAACTACAAGGTAAGACTCATGTGATCTTGCCCTGTAGCTTGGTTAACTTTCCAGAACTATCTAATTTACTGATCCAGATTAAAAGGTAGCACAAGGAGAAGGCTTGCATGAAAACAATTCAAGAAGGGGCAAACAGCAATAAAATGATATTTTTAATCATTCTTGTTCTTACCATTCATCTCCAGTCAACTCCTCATCAGTCCCAACACTCCCTCTGGTTTCTTGGTACTGTGGTTACGGGTGACACCATTTTTTGTGGGAAGAAGCTTATGTATATTTTTTGCACTTTCATTTCAATGCTACCTAAACACTTCTCTCTCTCTATTTCTTTGAGAGGTGGAGGTTTATGAAGTTCACCTCATCCATTTTTCCCTGTAGTTACTTATTTGGGCTTAACATTCAAATGAAGATGGATTGTTTCCTGATAAAACTGTGTACACATGCTGGTATTACTGGTAGCACCCCTGAAGTCACTAGGACAGAAATAGGCTTTTCTCCAGCACAAAATTCAAAACTAGGACTAATCCAGAAGTATTCATACATTCAGTGTGGTTTCATGGTGTCAAAAGATATTGAACCAGAAAGCATAGTTTGTGACAAACTACTGGCCAATGCATCCATGAAGCCTTCAGAATTGAAGCAGCAGTAAGACCAAAACCACAATGAAGAATAAACAAGTTGAGTTCTTTCAGAGGAAGCTCTAGGAGATAAAGAAACAGAAAGGAATAATGAAGGATTCACCTTTGCCCAGAGGAATATCTTGAAAGTATCATTTCTGCATTAAAAAATAGCAATTTTTTTACTCACACAGTTGCATTATTTCTAGATATTTCTAAATTTGGGGTTGCATAAACATGGGAAGATGGCTTGATGGGTTGCAACAGAGATAAGGTTGAGAACCACTGCACCATGGCACTTTGCCAAGGAAAAAAGAGTCTTACCAAAGAAGCAAAGAGTTGAGAGTCCTAAAGACCTGGGTGATTTGGGATTGCTTCATCGAGGAGGCAGTAGAAAGAGCATCAAGCAACTCTTTTCCCTTCCCTCCATGAGCCAAATACTCCTGAAGGACTTCAACATCTTCGCATTCTGCCACTGCTTCCACATCTGAAAGCAATTGAGATGTAAACATGAAACTTGCTGCATTGATTGACCTAAGCCAGTACTCTGCATGCTTTGTTAATGCTGCTATTCAGGTACATCAGTCAAAGATCAAATCAGCTCAAGAGCACCAATTAAAGACTTGAAAAGAATGAAAAGATAGAGGTGAACACTATAGAAACTTATACAAATTAATGCAAATGTTGGATGCCATCCTAATTACACCATTTTTCGTTTTGCACCAAGCACACCTAGCAGCACCCAATTTTTTTATGCTACTGCTCACACAAGGTAGGGATGTATCTCAGCTTTCAATGAGAGATGAGGTCTTCTTTCAATACCATACTGCTCCTTTCAGGTTTTTAGAAAGAAACTCTGACTAAAGATGGAGACACATTGACAGAAACAAAAATAATAATTTATTCCCACAAGTCAGACTCACACCATCCCTTTTGCAAGCCTAATATGTCCAATTGACTCTTCATGCATTCTATTATGTGCAGCATTAGCAGGGCATAAAGAATGGATGATGCACTGTTTAAGGACAAGAAGTCACAATTAAATAGCCATGCATGGAGCTGCTCATGAAGACCTTAATAATATGCAAGGGATTCAGAAAATTTTCCAAGACTGGTTCTGTATCTCCAATATTCTTTGATGTATACAGGGTGGCCAGAAAGTTTCTGACCCCTGCTGTTTAATAAGAAACCTGTGCTAATAATATGAAAACATATATATTTTCTAGAAAGTAGAGTTTTACAATGTAGTGTACATGCTATTAAAGGAATCTGAAACACCGAATCATAAATAAAAGTTCTCATTTCAACTAATAATGAGTATGGTGCCTGCCAATGCCTAAACACTGATTAATCCTTCTGGGGAAACTCTTGATGAGATTGGAGATGACATTCTGAGGGAACAATTCCCACTTCTGTTGAACTCTCTCCACAAGCTGAGCTCTATTTCTTGGTCTTGGCTCCTTGAAAATGCTATCTTGCAGCATAACCCAAAGATTCTCAATCAGATTGAGGTCTAGGGAATTGTCGTTAAATCACCTGTTGGGTCAATTTTGCTGTGTGAGCAGGTCCAGCATCAGAATAACATTCTCTGGGTTTGGGAAGATCACACGGTTCACCGTGCATAAGAAAATCAAATAAACGTAATCCTGTATTTATTGTAGAGCATATTATTACTTGGAGAAAAACTAATAACGCAAAAAATATTGAATGGCTGGAAAGTTTCAAACCCCTGTCAGACCCCTATCACAAACTTTTGGTCAGTTTTAGGTAGCAATAATTATTTTTAATGCTTTAAAACTTAACAAAAATGAAAGAGTAATAATTAATGAATTAATATGACCTAATTTTAATTTGTCAGTTTCAAATAAATCCTGGCCAGGTCCAATCTAAGCAGCTAAAATTCAGTTTCCAGATTTTGGGCCTATGCAAAAATATGCAACATCAACACGTTTGAATTATCAAACAGACACGTGTAATGCCAGATGATGCAGTAGGGTTGTGCAATATCACAAACAAGTAGCCAGTGTTCTGTGATGAACGGACTTCAGGTACGAGAAGCACAAATGTTTATAATTTTTTTTATGAAAGGGTCAGAAACTTTCTGGCCACCCTGTAGATGCCAATTCTACTAAGTATCTTGTGTTAGGTCTTGGGGGGAGGGGGGCATAGACATAATTTCTTGCTTAATGGTTTTCATTTGGCTTTTTTTTTTATAATGAATTTCTTTTGCATGGCCCCTTAACCGACCAGGTAAAAATGAATGAGGAGACTGATAAGGTGATTTGAAAATTCAGCGGGAAATGTAATTTTCTTTTTAAATGGGAGAAATAATCATAAGTTGTGTAATGTGTATACTGCATTTGGAATAGATGCTTCAGGCTGCTGGATGATATTTGATAGGCACAAACAGTTCAAAAAAGGAGTCATTACTAAGGACCCAGGATCTGTGATGATGGTCAATCACCCATCAATATGGATTGGGAAGAGGAACAAAAGTGCAAGAAATCCTTCAGACATTCTAGATAGTGATGATTTAAAAGCACTCTGGGAATATAGACTTTTCTTCTTGTGGCATTCAAGAGGTTCTCATGAGATTCTGCTCCTCTACTGATGTTCATGAATTACCCAACCTAGGGTCACCTGTTAGAGGTCTTGTTTTTCGAGAATCATTTGCAGCAATCAAATGCCTTCAAGGTTCCTAGGGATTGGCACATTTGACTACTTCCATGTGAAACTCGACAGCTCTCTGAATTTTTTAAGGAAGTTAAAGAAATTCCTCCTTAATTGACACAGAGTAGATAAAAATTTCCATAAAAAGAAATTCTTAACAGGTTGACCACGAGGTGCACCGGTGCGCCCCACTGAATGGGAAAAACAATAGGCCAGCATTTCCATGGCAGTCAAAGTGTTAATAAACCAAATGAATACCATTAAGCAAAAAATGTTGTCTATGCACCCCCAAGACCAAACCCCAGAACTAGAACTTGGGAGATGGGCTGGGTGATTCCTGACTCAAGCTTACCTATGCCCAAGTTACATAACAATAAAATCATACACATATCTACAACAGATTTCTAAAAAGTTGTATGCAGCATGGAATAAAAAAATATACCCCACATTGAGAGCCAGACAAGGGCATCGCCTGTTTTAAATTTCCTTCACATATATAGCAAACCAGCTCTCTATGTGTACTTCATTCCTCACTTCACATCCTCTTCTGTCTCCTGCCCAGTTCCCCTTACACTCTTCCTCAAGCCACTAAAGATCCAATGACACATTGGGAATGAAATTAGAGGCATAAAATTAGGCAGCAGTCAGGAGCATGCAAAGCACCTTTGACTATTGGAAAACCTCTGCAATGCCCATGGAGTGCAGGCCTAAGTGGGATAGGTGCCAGCAGCTCTTTTGACACCAGATTGCTTGCCTTTAATAATAATAAAAATCAGTTCCTGTCTGGTGACACTTGAAATAATCCCTCATGCTCATCAAATCCCTCACCTTTCTCATGTCATCAGATTGTGATGTAACAATGAAGCCAAAGGGGCTTATATTTCCAATCTTTGAATAACTTCATGAATGACCAGAAACTCTAATAAGATCTCTTGGTGAGACAGCCCATTTGAGGGCAAGACAGGTCCAGACCATGCAGAAGTTCTGATATGTGATTGGATACTAGCATGTTAGAAGTAACTTCCTTGTTAGAAACCAAAACCAGGGATCAGTCTGACAGGACAAAAAATTGCATTTAATCTGAGGCCTAAAATCCAGGTGGATATAATGCAAAGATATTTGACATTAATGCTAAGTTCATACTTCCACTGTACAATGTGCTGAATACAGTGCATAGCAGCAGTCTATTGACAGCAAAATTACATCTTGCTGCCAGCAGATGAAGCATGTGCTGTTGGCATGTTTCACTGCAATCTCAGACATAGGAATGGTTTACTTTCAATCCAGTGTGCCATAGAACTGTGTAGAATGTTTGCTGGACATGCTTAATGGGACTCAGCAGTAATGCATGCAGTTATGGCATCCAGCATGGTGTACAGCTCGAGTGAGAAGTATGCAAAACTCAAAGTTGAAAAAGGAAACAGATTTATTGACAAGTTTTTATTAGATGCGGTCAAAATCTAGGACATCTAACAAAACTGGGAGAAAGAGAGACATCAAGCAATGACACACGACCTATGGGAAAATGGCAAACTTTCGGGTCCATTCTCTATGCCTCAAAACAACCAAACTTTAGCTTCTCCTCGATTTAATCTCAAGTGTAAAGCCGTGTGGCATATATAGGCCTAGGCCCTACACTGTGCCTACCTTTCCAGAAGCGATCTCCTCCAAACCTCGACTGAGATTCTTCTCCTGTCGCTTTCACAGGTGAATTTTCGTCCTTTTGCATGGTTTAACTTGCAAGGAAGGGAATACGACCGGAAACACGTGTCGACGAGTTTCGTGCGCCGGTGGATGGAGCCATCACGAGTACTAGCGATGATGTGCAGATGTGGCGCTAGATGTCCTTCCGATCCGAATTAGCACAACCATCAGCATGTTCACATGCTAGCAGTTTCGAGTTGCGACATTTGAATTTAACAAAATATGGACAAATATTCGAAATTACCCACAGCCACCTTAAGCCAAGGCGCCAATCGATACTATGATTAGGGCCTACAGTTTTTTACTTACGGAAAATAACGATATTAGCTGCTGCAGTATTTTTCGCTTCAGTTAAACACTTTTTCACTTGACTTCGACCCATGAGGAACGTCCCCTGCATGTGCGTCTGAGTCAAGTGAAAAGCACTGTATTAAACTTTATTGCGTAAAAAAAAATCTTAAGTTATATTATATGGACAAAACGGTGACTGATTATTAGGACCAGTTTGCAGTATGGATAATGCATCTAAAATATGTACTGTCCATATTAATTATGAACAGGTGGCGACCCTATTGCAATTGAATGTTGTCAATTTTTCTCTCATTTACTCACGGTAATAGGACCGCATCCATTCCAGTTTGTAGAGGGCATGAGGTGGAGGAATAATTCGTACCGGAGGGTCAAACGGTGAACCAGGCCATCTTCTTGTTTATCCTGAATCGCCTTCGCGACGCCGTCCGCCGAAAAAGGTGAGAGAAGCGGGAGGTGGTAACTTGGATTCTTGAACACGATGAAGCCTGTCCCACACCGCCCTCTCCGTGCGAAGAATGGCATCCCTATTCTCGATCGTCCGCCTCACTTGTCTGATTTGGTTCCATGTGACTTCTTTCTCTTCCCCAAGTTGAAATTAGCGCCGAAGGGGAGATTTGAAGACATCGTGTCGATCAGGAACAACACGATGAGAGCGCTTCATGGATTACGAAAGAGGAATATAAGAAATACTTCGAGAGTTTGTAGGAACCCCTTGACTACGTGTGTGCACTCCCAAAGGAATTACTTTGAAGGAAACAGCTCCCAACAGCCCATAAATCGCATCTAAATCTCAGGAAGAAATCAATTCCAGAACTTTTTGTAACACGCCTTCATTATGAAATCGATGAGGCTGTTTATGGGCAAAATTTGTCGAATCTGAGCTCCACGGTAGAAACAGCAACATATGGCTCACTTTCGGCATCCAAACGGCATCGATATTTTGTCGTTATAACAGCCAACATAGAAAACGTCGTCGCGTAAGATATGATGGAGCGAGTGGGAGAGAATTTTCACGACTGGTCCTGACCAGTCCTGAGTCACTCCTTAGATCAGCGATACTCCTCTCCGATGCTAAGTCAAACAGTTCGGCAGATATTTTTTTAATGGAAAGGAACGCCCGATGGTGCCGTCGCATGAGAGCGAGGATGAACGAGAAGGAGCGAATAGGAGCGAGGAAGAGCAAGGGGAGGACCTTCTTTCTACGAGAGTGGATCAGAAAGAAGGGTGAAAATGGCCTTAATGATCTCAATTTAAGAAATTATTGCGTAATATTTGGACTGCACCTAGTGTTGTAGCTCACGAATTTCTGCCAGGGGGGTCGACTTGCTGTAGCGCCAGTCACGTGACAGACGGGTAGTCTGGGACAGTCGACCGCCATGTGTATCGAGAAATTCCAAGTGTTACTCGCTTCCTGCGAAAGAAAGCGAAACCTTGACCCTCAAAGGGCCTTGAAAGGCCCTTGAGGGCCACCCATCGAAACCTTTTGCACTCCCCATTTTCATTCTTCTTCGGTTGTCCTTCCGTTTTTCCTTAGAGCCTCGTGAAATCGAGTTTGCTTTTCGGGCAACTTCACCGTCCCATGCTCGGTACTCTTGGGAGTTTTACGTTTGCGTCTCGAAGCACGACGAGATAGATAGCAAGAATCTCTTCGGAAAGGAGTCAAACATCCGGATGGAGTCGGTATCGTGCGACGACCCTTTTTCGAACCGCGGGCTGCCACGACCGAACGGATCGGATTCACGTTCTTCGAGTCTCGCGATGGATCCTCGACATGGAAACGATGGAACGATGTCACGGACTCCCACGGACCATAGGCCACCGTCCGTTCATCCCCGAATTTCTTCGGAGGCCGATTGCGTGTATGCTTGGAAAAGGCTTCGCTACGACCGTGACCTCGACCGTAGAAGTGGTTCGTAGGGAAACGCTATAGAAGATCCATCCGAATCCGCAGGCTTCGGAAGTCTAAGTTCATTACCGCATCTCCACGAGAACCGTCTTTCTAATAAGTTTTCCCTTACCGTACACCGAACCGGTCTGTTTAATTCGGCTGCGCGGCGTAGCACGAAGTCCTTCGACGAGACGAGACGAGACTGAAGACGGTCGTCTGCCGGCCACGAGATTCTCCACGAGAGATGAGACGGAAGACGATCGTTTTCCGAGGAGCGGGAGTCCAGCGCTCTCGTGACTCGAACATCGTGGCAGGCCATACGGAAGGCGAGGGACTCTCGGAGGATTCCAAGCACCTTCCAAAATCGCGATCGAAGCGCATCCTTGAACCCAATGCGAATAGATCAGGGTGAACTTTCGGGGACCGGACACCCGAGGCCCCGTTCCGCGTATTCGAAAGAGCGCTAAGATTCACGGTCACAATCTCGGCCGTTTCGGGCGAGGCAAAAATTCCCACTCGGGTCCGCATTTTTCTCCATTCCTTTCCTGCTCGGTTCGGACCATTCGCGGACAAAACTACACCATTTTCGCGCTAAAGAAATAAGGAATAGGCCCATGAAATAGAAGACGACGTTCCGAATACAGAGGCGGTTTAATTTCTTACTCATTCATCTCTTCGACCCTTCGTACCAATGAGAATCCTTCGTCCGAAAGTTTGTCTCGGGTCGAAGGATTCCAAGGGACTATTTCATCACCTCTCCTTCTTTAATCCTCTATTGCATGAATTATGAAAATGTGGCAGGAAAATAGTTTTATGTCAATTATCATTTAGTTTGACTAAAAATGCATTTAAGGGGGAAGCAATGGTCTGTGAGATACAGGTTTCGTGCCATTTGGCATCGTTGAGCAAAATACGCACTCAAAATAATTGTCCCCCATTCATGCTCCCAGATTTCGTTTTGACGGCAATTAGCATTATCCAAGAGGGTTAAAAATGGGGGAGGGAATCAAGAAAAATTTCCCCTTTGACTAGTTAAGTGTCACCGAAACGTCGTATACATGACGCACCTTTCCATTCAGAATTAACAGATTTATTGGGTGGAGGATCGTGGAGTAGTGGGGCCTACCTTTCTCGTCAGATGACGCACTTGCATTCCTTTCAGATCGCTTTGATTGCTCTGCCTCATGAGAATACTTATTAGACGATAGAGACAAATGAATCGCACTCATGGATACCTCATACTTCTGCAGTCCTCTAGGACGAAGAAAATCACTAGGATGCAGTCGTAGGCGCACCGAGTCCAGGGTGGAAGAGTAAATAAAGATTATGCTGACTCTTCTCCATTTCCACCCCCTGCTCATCAGCACGGCCCAGCTAACATTTTCAAGTGAGGGAGGAGGGAGGGGGGGGGGTGGGGGGGGAGTACTAAGCGAGCGAAGGAACGCTTCCAGGATTTCCCTCATTTTTCGTGGGAGTGCAAAAGCAGCCATTCGTTCCCCTCGCCCTCCCCAGGCGCGAATGGTTGCAATTGTCATTCTTGAAAAAACTTTCATTCACTCGTGACTGATGGCTGGAGCGAGATATCGGTGTCATTCGATGGGCATGTGGTCATCATCAAGGTGGCATGTCGACGTGATGCCAGGGGTACGTCCGTCAGTTCGACTTCCGAAATGCGTCGATACTCTCGATCGTGAGCAAAGAGAACTCAGCGGTATCGCGACATTAATATTCCCTTTATTAAAAACATACACAATCAGAATAATGTTACAGTCACCACGAAGTCTTCTACTTGGCTTGCGAGGCGTAGAAAACACAAGAAAGAAGCGGACTGTGTTTATATACACCAACTAGCAGAGAGGAGAAAAAGGTAGCTAGCGTGATCGAGAGAGAGAAAGAGAGTCGATCAGGAGGGATCCGGAGAGATGAACGACTAGAATTTGATAAAATATAAAATCGTTTCGTCCATTGTGCGCGGGCTGAGAATTTGAATCCGGCAAGGCCGCGAGGAAGCTCGTTGCCACCTTTCCTGTCATCGGTCGAAAGATTGCGGCCGTGTTCTCTCCTCGTACGACTCTACAGTTCCTCCACTTCCTAAATAATGAGATCTTTCTGATGCAGGGAAGACCTCCCAGGCACGAGAGTCAAAGGATTGAAAAAGGAGGTTATGGACAGTACACAATGGAGGGAACGGACAAATCTGGATTCGCGCGCGCATCATGTTCCCTTCATATTTCTTCTTGGCACATTGGAACGACTCGAGAAAACGAAACTCCGTCGGATCCTTCCTTTCTTTCAGGCAGTGAGAGAAGAAAGGAAGAGAGAAAGAGAGAGAGAGAGAGAGAAAGTGGGAGAGGGGGGATGCTGTCCGATGCACTCGATTCTCTCTTCTTCGGAGTGTTTTACGTCTGGGATACGAAGAGGAGTCCCCGGTCTCCGTGATGGCAAAAGAAGGACTCAGCACTCAGGAAGAGGGCTCCTCTGTCACCGGCTGGAAATAGACACGAGTTCAGACAGGGTCATTCCATGTCTCAATCACGATGCGTGCTTGACCTATTTGATCTGCTTGGAAATCGACAGGAAGTAAAACAAGGCTGCATGCATATCAGATCCCATTGTAATTTGACCACAATGAACAGAGATAAAGCACTCGCTAGTTTTGGCACCATTGTACGTCTCCTGGGTTGCTACTCCGCGCAATAGCACGGGATGACCCAATGGAAGTCTCGTATCCATCAGCGTTCCGAGTCCCACTGTGAACCATATCCCATTCCAGAGATTCACATGAAACACCCTGGGGATGTCCCAAGAGTTTCTACTGACGGAGACTCCTCGGACGTTACGTTAGATGCTTCTCCATTAGCACCACCACATTCGCGGAAAGTCCTATGTACATCCCACTGCACGTCCCGTGAGTGTATTCAGAGGTGATCTTGAAGACATCGCAATGATTTTTCCCTGGGATAGTTTTGGGATGCGTCCCCTGGATGTCCCACGGGCATCCCTAGTAGGAACTTTATATTCTGAAGACATCCCGAGTCTAGATCGTTCGAGTTGGCCGGCTTTAAAGGACATTTCATACTCATATAAAACAAGACCAGAGAGCAAGAGTCCATGAATGCTCCCTGCCAACCGCAAGTTATTTCGGGGTTACGCTACCAACAGTCGGCCTTCACCTCTGGGGTTTTTTAACGCTCCACATGCAGAGACGGTTGTACGTGCTCGGGGTCTCACGCCGGAGTTCCTACTCGAAAATAAACTCTGGCTTGCTCGGTTTCGAATCCGGGCCCCTACCACGAGTCAAACTTACCACCGACCGAGCCCTCCCATGCCCCAGCCTGCAAAGAGCCTCTTCCTTACGTTTCTCCTCATTTCATATCCCTCCACCCCCTTAAAAATATATTTTGTCCTGTAACCGTCTCCTGCTGGATAGTGTCTGTCGTCCACCTAACTTCAACTGCAGCAGGACCGTCAATCTCTGTGGTTAAGATCCTCGACGAACCCAAGCCAACTGCTTCTCAGAATCGTCGCGCTGTTGTCCCGAAGACTTGCTTCGGATCTACCTAATCCATTTATTTTTCTTTTATTCGTCTTCTTTCGACGCGTCCCTCGAGTTGCCAGTAGTTTTGGCAGCTGGATGACGAGTTTGAGAACACCTCAAGAGTTTATCTTCTTGTTTTTTGGTCTGTCCTTCAAGTGTGCTTCTAACCTTCTCCGTTGCATAATACTCCTCATGAATGCATGGCATCTGGCTGTGTGGGATACTGCAGTTAAAATTTTTTTTTCGCTTCGCCCAATGGCTATGCCTCCAGCGTCATGTACTTCCCAAACAGGTTCAATATAAAGATGGGGTTCACACACAGTGCGCAGTGCACAGTGACGGAATGAGCGAGAGACGGATAGAAAAAACTGCAGGTAGTGCTTGCTTGGAGAGGGCTCACCAAAGAAAGCGCCCTCGTGTCTTGAAAAACAAGTGAAGAGCAATCAAAGCGTCTCTGACATATTCATTGCCAGAAATGGAAATCGAAGCTTCCCGCTGAGGAATTAAATTGAAGCAATCCCCGTAAAGGGACATGAAAATCCTCGAAGAAATGAAGGGGAACAGGATGACGGATGAAGGAATGATCATAGATGAGAATGGAATGGAAAGAGGAAAAAATTCGGCGCAAATGCAAAGGGGAATAAATTACCTGTCGAATGATAGAGGAGGAGAGTGTTAGCCAAGGTGATGAGAGGTGTAGGAGGGAGGTCCAGAGTCGTCTTCTTCCTCGTCCTCATCGTCCTCGTCATCGTATGATCCAAAGGAGAAAGGATTCGAGAATAACGGACGGGATGTCGTCGTCGTCGTCGTCGTTGTTGTCTGTCCCTGTCCCGCGATTCCCTACACCAGGAGGAAGAGACAGGGAAAGGATGCAAGCCAGCAAGACCTCAGGATCAGGATCGACCGAGTCGAGGACATACCGGAGAGGGGGAAGGCCACCTCCACCCGCATCCGGGCAAGGGTAATCCATCCGGACCCAGGGGGCAGGGTGCATCCAGGCCGGGTACTCCAGGTGGCCCCCGGTCACCCTTGTCACCCTTCTTCCCCCGGCGACCCAAAGGACCAGCATCCCCTTTATCTCCCTTTGACCCTTTCGTCCCCTGTTCGCGTGGAAACATGCGGCAGTCCACAAAAAAATCAAATTACTCACTTGATGTTTTATTGCCAAGATCGAGGTAATCGTGAGAAAGGACGAGGGGGTAAGAAGAGCCATCATGCCTCTCCATGCATGCATTTCTAAAACCTCATTGCCAATGAATTTACTGTGTTCATGGAGTAAAGTGGGCAAGAGGGATGACAAAAAGGACAGGGCCTTGCATGCATGGAAGAAGGAGGGGAAAGAAGATTGTGAGATTCAGAGACACCTGATCCGCACCTGCACGCCCGGCATCCCATCTAATCCCTACAAACACCGGAAACTACCTGTTAGGAAGTACCACAATCCACAAGAAGAAAGAACAACCACAACCACAACCATAAACACAACACTTCCTACCGTGCATTCTACATGCTTCACATCTCTGTCATCGTCTAGGACTAGTGATTATCGATTACGGAAGGAGTCGGTTGAGTGAGGATATAAGAAAAGCTGTCAAGGTGGGATTAGCAACGAAGTATGGAAAGAAAATAGAAATTCGTACGGGAAGGCCAGTGATTCCTCGTTCTCCTTTCAGTCCTGGTTCTCCTCTTGCGCCCTGAAACCAAGAAATGATGCTTTTCGTGTCGTGTTTGATGGGAGACGAGAAGGATTTAAAGATTGCTCATACCTTCATGCCATCCATTCCTGGCGGGCCCTGAAAGAGAGGCAGACAGTTATGAAATCGACGATCGATTATCGAAAAAGGAGAGAGAGAACGAGGTTCTCTCTCTCTCGAGGCTGCCTGGGGGATTTTTGCTCGAGCGTAGAAGGTACCGTGCCATGCAGGCGTACATAGGAAAAGAGAAGCTTTGCTGCCGTGCACCAGGCAGATCGGGACTGGACTCTACTTACGCCACGTGTCGGAAGAATCGAGTAGATGAAGAATCTCCTCACACGAGTGGGAGATCATGCTCATTGCTTACCGTGGGTCCAATCATTCCCGGTTTCCCGTCGTCTCCAGGTTCTCCCGATAAACCCATCGGACCCTGCACGGATATCCACAGCGTTAAATAGCAACGATGATTCCCGGCTCTCTCCACAAACGAAAAAAGGTATGAAAATTGAAACTGACCGGAAGACCCATGGGGCCGCGTTCTCCTCGGTCTCCTTTCTCGCCCTAGAACGTGAAGAAATCCCACGAAATACTAAAAAGCCGAAACCCTTACGTATTAAAGAGTGTAGGAACGGTCGTTCAACCACGCCCGCAAACGCAAAGAAAGAATACCTCTGGGCGTAAGAAGCGCCTATCGAGACCTAAATCTTCCGATTCACTCGAAATTTGAAAGAGCGGAACTGATAGTATTCGCTGGGTGCATTAAGTTGGAGACATCTGGCGGCAGGAAGCATAAAAATGAGCTGGGGGGAGTCAAGCGCGCAAGCTTCAATGCTTTTCTTATGGAAACTGTTTTTACTACGAAAATGCTTCTTTTTTTTGCCAGAGGGATTTCCTAAGGCCAAGAATGATTATAAAGTAAGTAATCGATGGGTTGAAGTTTCTATTTTGAGCATCCAGACAGCCTGAAAGGCCTGTTATGAAGTTTCTTTCACTCTAGGCCTTCGCTTTCCATGGGCCTATGAAAATCAAATTTGGCACTTGCTGTCACAGGATAAATAGCCAACCTTGACCTGATACATTTTATCATGAGGTCAAGGTCGGATTAAAGGGGAGGGGGGGGGGGGGCAAAGGGGGCTGTTGCCCCGGGNCAGGATAAATAGCCAACCTTGACCTGATACATTTTATCATGAGGTCAAGGTCGGATTAAAGGGGAGGGGGGGGGGCAAAGGGGGCTGTTGCCCCGGGTCCCGCTCTTCCAGGGGGCCATCGAAGGAAATGAAAAACGTTAAGTATTTGCGTAAAGTGGGAAGTGGGAAGTGGGGGGGGGGGGGGGGGTAGCTCCAAGAATCCACTTGCCCGGGGCCTCGCAACCTCTTAATCCGGCCCTGCTGAGGTACTAATCCAATAATGGTTTCTGTCACGGGTTATGATTTACGTCCATGAAGCACAATGATATGAAAAAAAGCTAGCAGCACTTAAGGGAATACAGAGGTAATGGGAGTCAAAACTTCCAATTTTAAAGCAGTTTCCCGTTGTAGTGAATTCTATCAGGAACTGGAAGATATTAATAATATCCCACTCATATCATGCACACTGAGGCTCATGATTCCATGGAAATCCTTCATTGGTGAGTGGCTTTGAGGAAAACCTGCACCTCCTCTGAAGGTGATATTTGATTAAGGATTGGACCACGTTTTTTGCACACCCCTTTACTCTGTCGCATTTATAACATGTTTTACTTCGGCTAGAAGCTCCCTTTATCAATGTCATGGCTCTCAAGTTTTGAGAATAAATTGGGAGGAGCCCCACGTGAAGAAGGATTGTACAATCCTGTGAAGACATGGCTTTGTTCCATTCTCCTCCTTTTGTGCGACTCCCCCCCCAGTCATGGGCGGCGCCATATTTAAAACGTGCCATCTAGTGTTAGTGCGTCCAGCGAATAGCGAGAGGCATTCCAAAGCGAACCTCGACATCCCCGAAAAGCGATCCGCACCCGAGGCATTATGCGCTGCTCGCCGTCTTTATGCAACATAGAGAAAGAAGTGGAAAACGTTCGAACGTGATTAACATTCAGATCTGACTTGAGTGTATCGGCCTCATGGTTTCATGATGGTCCCGGTCCTTGACTGATATAACACAGAGGACTGCCCCAACTTAATTTGACCATTTTCAAAATGGGGTTACGCATATGAGGAAAGGATAAATAGCTTTCGTGTGACGTGTGATGATTGGGCAAGAAGTCAACTTTGAAATACGAGGTCATTGTGTTGGCGTTTAATGATGCCTGTCGACTGTGTCGCGGAGATGTGCGTGAAGCACCTTTCCATGAAAGGTTACTCACACGAAATGATGATTCGTTAATGTTTCTTGAAAGGATTGTGTTTCCATAAGAATAGTTTCAAACATCATCATTTACAATGGAAAGAGGCGAGAAGCGAAGAAAGAAGCGAATTTCAGCCATAAGACCAAGACCAAGTTAAGCTTCTGTCTAAAGTGACTCGTTTCGCGAAATGGAAAACCCACCCAGCAAGGGATTATTTGTATGTCGACTGCCGATGTCGATGTCTAAGGGAGCTATCAGCAGGGTCATTCAAAAGGATCTCAAAATGTAACGAAAACACAAGATCAACGTCCATGGTCCTCAGCCCAAAACATATCAGGGAGAGGAATAAGAGTACCTGAAAATTATGCAAGCGCCACCTGGCCGGTGAAGTATAGAAGGTCCAAGTATATTGTGACGTTCGATTACTTGGCTGTATCCCTCTGTTAGTGAAAAGAACCTGTCTATTTACAGCCGAAAAAGAGTTTTCGTTGCCCAAACAAGATTTGGATTTCTGTGCGTTTGGACTGCTGAAGCGTGCTCCTTTGAATCGACGCCGCAAAACGTTGGGTTGACTTTGGAAAGTTATCGGAGAGAAATGGAAGAAATTGGGCGTCTCTGTGCTCGTAAAGCTCTGGCAGAGTAGAAATTAAGGGCTATTCTTCAGAATCAAGGATATGAATTGAAGCATGGTAGTTTCTGTAAGAATAGCAAAAACATAGTTTTCTGAATCAAAAATGGTCAAAATAAAGCTGGATAAGCCTGTAATATCCTCTGGACGTCCAGAATGAATGCCGACATGCTCAGATCCTGCCGTCACATCCAAGGAATATACGGTGAGCATATGCCACCCTCTAATGAAAGGTATCCTAGCGATATTCCTCATAGATGTACGGTTGTCGGAAAGAACGTACCCAGGAAGTTCTCATCAACCGTATGCACGTTGCGGATCGGCTAGGAGTGTGCTGCATGCCAAAATAAGTCTGGTAGAACATCTACCATCTTGGAATCGGGATGATGTGAAAACTTCCATCGAGTCCATGCGAGCAACTCAAGTGACGCGCAACATCGCGCCAATATCGGCGCCTAACTAATGATATCTCTCTCGTTCGTAGATGTGAGTTGCATTGACTTGCATACATTTTTGACAACATTCATTCATCGGTACGAAGTTGGGGAAAATGAGGCAAAGCGACGTCGGCACCTCGTGAGGTTTTGACATCGTGGTCACGTTGACACGAAATCGGTGCCTGTTCGTGGATTGCATTTTCACCATGCACGATTAAATGCTCTTGTGATACGTTAGCTTGTCGATCACATCTGCCCCTTGGATATGGGCGATGCGGAAGACTTAGATCGACTTAGAACTATTATTAGAGTTTACGACTTACTACTCAATGTATATCCCCGTAAAATTGATAATGCGGTAACCTAAGAATCAACGTAGATGTAGACAAGAGAGCCCATTAATTGCACAACCACTACAGAATATTTTTGAGAATTCTTTTGCGCATGACCTGTTGCAGTCCCTAAATCGTTCTCAAGTGGCAGTGTTCGAAATGTAAATAAATTCTTATAGTGAAACATTATGAAAACAATTTATAACGCGATCACAAATAAACTTCCTGCATTCAAGCCGGAAGAAAATGCTACGTTCGATTAGGAGCAATTACAATCTTGATCTCTGGGCGAAAGGAGGCAGGATTAAGCATGCGTTTAACTTTCAGACGTCATTCATACAAGACATCCCAATTTCTGCTGTTCCTCAATGAAACAAGGATTCATATCCTATTCCTCCTGAGCTCGAGTTGGGGGGGGGGGAAAAAAAGTGGAAGGAGGGACATATACGGACCATTGCGCCCTTGAGGCCGTCTTGACCCCGGGAGCCCTTGATGCCAGGAGGACCTTGAAGACCAGATCGACCCGGGAGACCTGGTGGTCCTGGAGGTCCCTGCACCTGCATCATTGTATCGGTACATCATCAGTATCATCCCTGTCAATCATTTCTAAGATGCCATGAGAGAGGAACTCACGACTTCCAAGCTGTTCCCAGAGTCCCAGAACGACTCGCTCTGTAGGGGGATATGAAAAGGTAAGTCACATTCAGAACCCAACCCTTTCTCGCATGAAAACTTACCTAATCTCACTCCACTAAGTCCTCTAGCTGTCTCTCAACTGGTCTCTATCGTACAGGGTGATTACCGGTAGAAAGTTGCTCGACGGGCATAGGGTGCTCTGACATGGAATTATTCACCGCACCTCATTGAAACTTGGAGAATAGCATCACAGCATCGGAGAAGAACGTTGCACGAAAGGAACACATGCCACATTGGTAGTGCTGCTGACATCACGTCATTTGCATACACAGCAGGTGCAGAAGAATGGGCGAATAAAATGCTGTCGTTAGCTTTCGTAACCAATTTTCGATAATTCTGTGAAGATGCAGACCTATAAGCAGCAACTAGTGCTTGTGCACTGTTGTCACTCGAATTGACTCACAGCAGAGACGGGACGAGAGGCTTGGTGCTTCACAGCTACTACATGCTCATCAAAGAGCTGCACCTACAGTGCACACAAATGTCATCATGTCAGTAGCATAAAGTATGTATTTTTTCACGTAACGTTTTCTCCTGGTGTCGCGATGCTATTACTCCAGTTTTGCAGCGCTGAAATGCATGCTAGAGAGCCGTACACCCATCATACCATTTTTTTAAATTCACCTTCTTGTAAGCGATCATCATCACGAGAGTTCATCTTTAATGGGTTTGAAAGCGCATTTACATTTACAATTTTCAAAATTTAGGACTCTGGAATACTTTATTTTTCAATTCCGTTACGGGGCATTATGGATTCGATGTGACTTCTTCAAGAGACAAAGAACGAGGCTAAAAAAGTCCACAGCATAAAAATCTACTAAATATTCAAGTTAAGTTAAATCACAATACTGACCTACAGCTCAAGAAAAGCGACGATAAGGTGTGCACGATTCGTGTCTACATTCATGAGCATGCGATTAAGAGGTGAGAAACGAAAATGGTGAGGAAGAGAAGAAAGTGAAAGATGCAATACCCCAAATCGAGGGAAATTTGTGCGAGGAAGTTCTGGTTCTGGTTAATGGAAGGAAAAACCCAGCGAGGGTTAGTATTTTTTTTTTTCAATTGTCGAATGAGAAACAGGATCACGAAATTAAGCCTACCTGCTTCCAGATGTATCGCTGGAAACAAAACGAAAAAAGGAAGTAATGATAATAATAAGGCAACTCAGGGGAGAGAGAATGAGAGCAATACACTGCAGTCCGGGGAATACTACGAAAGGATCAAGAGACTCATCAATTCTGATTTACTAAAGCGAAATTAGGATCGGGATTTGGAGGAACTCACTCGTTGAGCCAGAGTCCTAGGATTTAAGCCAGACTGCATGGAATGAAAGAGAGAAAACCCGACCAACGACCACCTTACTTCATTTACTCGCATGGAGAGCAAAAACAATACAAACGCTATGATTAAATAATTTCTGAAGGTAATTATAATACCAAATGCATTTTTTTTCTGACTGATTTATTGGAGAGAAAGAAAAGAACGGTAGAGGAAACGTACCGATTCTCCTTTCGGACCCTGATCGCCCTTTTCACCCGGGAAGCCCTAAGAGGAAACGCCAGAAATTAATCCAAGAATTTATTAAGAATTTGTTGAGATGATTTGTTGGAGCTGAGACTGACAGGGGGTCCAGGAAGTCCAGGGGGACCCATGAGGCCAGGTGGTCCCAGGTCACCCATTTCGCCCTTCTCTCCCTTTTCACCTGTCCGGCCCTATGGACAACAGATCCACGAATCAGAGTCATACCTAGCCGGTTTGGGAAGATACAGGAAGAGCAGAAGGGGGAAGACGAGAAAAGGAAAGAAGGGAAGATAGGAAAAGAGAAGAAAAGAGAATAGTGAAAATATGAGTGGAATATGGAATGTGAACTGGGATGAAAGGGGCTTGACTGTGGACAGCAACATGAGGTGGACGACACGAGCTTGCAAGCTCTGGGCGTTGGAGATCGACCCAGGATGTTAAGGGCCTCTGTTATGTGCTAAGTGCACCATTTCGTGAACCTGAGAGCCGATTAGGAACTCCCACGCCTACGACACGGAAGGCGATAGGGCCTCTGCGTTACGCAGAGACGGAATGTTGTGCCGAACGGGCGCGGGATTCAAGACGTACTCAGAATCCAGGACAAGTGTTGGAGTGCGTGTTTCACCGGCTCATGGAAAGAATGAACACCGGTTGGAAAATATGTGGAGCTTGAGGCGACAGGGAAATGAGTATACGTGGTTCTACAATGGACGATCGAGGGACGTGACATGGGGACCTCTTCGATGTACTCCAGATGATTCAGTGAAACCAGAAAAAATGAGTTTGCTGATGCCTTGGAACTTCTGGCGTTCGTCGCACGGAATGTCTACATCGATCGGCCTGTCGAATGCAACACGGTGGCACTTGAGCCGTGGAGGTATCCTTCCAAAAGAAACTAAATGCAGCACCAGGATCGGGGTTTTCTTTCCTAAGAGATGGCTTAAAAGGTGTTTCGAAATGGCGAACTGGGAGGAAAGGAAGGAATTGAAATTTAAAGGATGGATCGAATCTTTCTCATAAGAAAACTGCCTGCAAACAAAATCATGCGGACATCAGTTACATCTCTTCCATAAACAAAAAAATTCGGGACTTCTTCAAAGCACACCTGACACCATCAGCGATGAGGACGGCCTTCGACTACTCTTCGCAACAGTGGGTGATCTATGGTATTCTGTATGTTCACGCTCGGGCTGCCAGTATGAGTTATTCCACGGATACATTCTGTCAGCCTCTCAGCATTTGCGTTGTGCGTGAACACAAGTGCGGGATCTGAGGAAAGCTTACAGCACCAATTGACAGCACTACTTCGTGCTTGCGTAATCATTCATACGAGTGAAAATAGAGGAACAAATTTGGTCAGTTGGGAGTCGATCCTGGGTCTCCAGCGCGACGTACAGGTCACTCACTCATTCGACAACAGGGATTCCTATGACACAGCACAAGGGTATTCGAATCAAGGCCATCTGTGCATGGAGAAGGGGATTCTCGTCTGCTCCTCTACCAATGAATCCCTGCCAGTGGCAGCGACTGTCTGATCATCTAGCAGATAATTAAGGCCATAACATTTTGCTATTACACAAAAGTTTCCGTGTTGTCCGTGAGGTCGTGATGGCTTAATCAACGAGTCGGCCTAATGTTCTGCTTTGAAATTTGGGAAACAAGGTTAACAGGCAAACAGATGAATAGGGGGCACTCCGTTAAAATCCATCTTTGCGTTTTAAATTCGAGGCTTTCCTAGAGAGTCTGAGGCATCGAAGTGATATGAAGATCGCGACTGGCAACATATTGCATGTCGCATTGCTACATTGTGACATTCAACATGGTTCTCGTCCGAATCCTGCTTACATGGCTTGGACTAGCCCCATATGACCGGTAAATTCACTCCTGCTTGTGGCGCTCAGTCCCATTCCAAATCCATCCGCAATTAATCAAGATACTGCAGTTCATGGGTATGAGATTTAAAATAGAATCAACATCCACCTTGTTGTGGCTGAGGTTGCTTCCCACAGCAGGAGACGTACCTCATCTCACTACTGACTACTGGGCCGAGAATAGAGAACGAAGAAAAGGGAGAAGACACAAGACAGGAAAAGAGAAGAGTGAGGAAAGGAGAAGTAAAAGATAGCAGAAACAGACCGGAAGTCCGTGTTGTCCTCGTGGTCCAGGTTTTCCATCTAGTCCAGGTTGGCCAGGTGGTCCCTGGAGGCCAGGGTTCCCAGGGGGGCCAGGGGTTCCCTGGCCTGGCTCACCCTTGTCACCGGCAGGTCCCGTTTCGCCAATGGGACCTTGAGGACCTGGGGGTCCTGGGAGACCCTGATTCGCAGCATCCCCGTCTTTCCCTCGCTTCCCCTAATGTGCATCCACAAGAGAAAAATGAATCGTACCGTTCGAGTTTCATTTCCTCCGCCCCCCCCCCCCCCCCGCCCAATCATACTGGGCTCTCCATTTTAAACACTCTATACTCTTCTGTCTTTCTTTTCATTGGGATCGATCACCTCCCCACATCAGACAGATGTTACCGTGACTTTAAAATTTTACTTCTTATTGAAAAATAAAATTTATACAGTGGTACCTCGCATAACGAACGCAATTCGTTTAATTAGGAAAAAATGTTTCACTTTCACTCGCGAACACCTCGCATAACGAACGCACCGCTGGAACGAATTGCGTTCGTTATGCGAGGTACCACTGTATTAGTATTCAAATGTTAGTCACGACGAACATTATTAATAGGAAAGAATGTTAGCATCGAAAACCCGTATGAGGCCATGTGCAACAAGACGCAATCAATATCCTCGAACTGGGAATCTTCGTATGATTCGCTTTTCCTCTCGCTATCTTCGAAATGCAGTTCGAAAAGAGATCGATGTCAATTTAGAATGTAGACGTATTAATGATTAAAAGCCCCCAAGACATCCTCTATGTCTAAGACGAGAAGCACAGGAATGAATGACTTGTTCAGGGGTATAGGGAAAACAAGGAAAAACAAAGACTCACAGAAGGATTCGAAGGAAGGACACCCAAAAGAAAGGACCCTCAACCACCAAACACATCTCGTAAGGGGTTAGTCCGGTCACAAAACAGAATCACGAGTACGGAAATGGAGAAAAGAGTCAATCAAATTCAATCAAATTTCATAGCGAGAAAGTGAATTAATCTCTCAGCGAAGCGAAGCAAATGGAAGCGATTGGGCAAATCAAAGCGGGACAGAAGAGTGAAGCGAGACAGATATACTACCAAGCATGCTTCAAGGGACATCCCACACGAAGTATACGAAATTCATTCATAAAATATGAAAAAGAGTGGAGTATCTTATTCACATTTCAATTAAATAAAGTTTTGAGATGCTATGACCATGAGATGCATCTTCTTCATTCACTTCAGTTCGCCTGCAAAACTATTCCAATGGCAAAGACACATTCGAATCACTATACTTGGGTGTGATAAAAAGTCAGGAATCACGACAAGAGCATGCGACCATTTTCTGCCCTGACTGTTTGGAACTAACCTTATCACCGGATCTAGATACATGATTAAGAGAATTATTAAGATGAGATTAAGAATAGAATTTTCACATTGCGAGACATTTTCTTGCTCCATATGTGAACACTACATTGCCTCAGTTCCTACACTTCCGTATAATTTGTGTTAGCAGAAAAGGTAAACGCTGCGAGAAGATCGTAGCCTTGTACACCGTAATGCGAAATTCCTGTAGCTTCAAGTATTCAGATTAAAATTCCACAGTCATTGAGCTGTTTGAGGGTAAAACTTTAAAAGGATAAAAGCCTGATGGCAAATCCCAGCGATGCAGCTCTAATTGAGACAGTTGAGAATATTCCATTTTGAAGAAATTTCTAATTGAATTCTTATTTCACTGGAATACTTTCTGGAACCATGAAAAATCCGAGCATCGCTATGGCCTTTCGCTGTTAAAGAAAATCCTGAAATGGTTCATTAGCCAGTTTCATATACATTTATATATTTTGTGAAACTTCTCACTTCCCATAGCTTTTGACTCAACTATAAGGAATAGAAAGTAGAGTCTGTAATTCCCCACGGGAGTGGGGAATTCCTTTCTGAGGGACTCACATACTCAATATTTTTTTAAGGATGAGTGAGGGGGGGAGGGGCGATGATGGGTGACGTCAAAGCGGACATTAGCCTGAGGCCTCACTAAGACCAGTTGCGTTTTCCGTGAGCAATCGTGCCACGCGAGAGCTTTCTTTAGTTTCCAAAATACAAAGAATTCGTTTCCTCTTCCTACAGATGAAAGCGCACTGACAAGAGGTCCAAGCTTACATCTTGGCCCCCCGCCAAAGTCAACAGCTGTTGAATGTCGAAAAGGGGGGGGGGAGGGGGGTAGAGGAAGAGGAAGGTGGTGGAATTTGCTTTACCGTAACGGTTGTTATTTCCAGATTTGCACGAGGGTGTTTAAAATGAAATTAGGAAAATTGCTATGAATGCCACAGTATTGTTGATGACATCTTGAGATTTCTCGCAGAGTTTGTATTTCTACATCCGCCACACCGTTCGTCACAATCTGCTGCGTATGACAGGAGTCAATGCTTTCGACAGGGCTGCTTTGGGATCCAACAATTACCACCATCCGACAATCAGGCGGTCGCGGACGAGGATGTGCAAGGATCAGTTGTTCACAAACACCTGTTCACTTGATGCTTCCAAGGAAACGCGTCGGCTGTCCTCGATTAACTTCTCCACCTCCGCGATATCGTCATCGGTAACGACGACGTGTGCCTGGTCTGACCGTGACACGTCTCCCAAACTTTTCCTATCCAGTCGAGAGCCTTAGTAGCAATACACGGCGGATCGAGATAAATAACCTTTACCATCCACCGCATTGCGTCGGTGGAATTCGTTAGTGCCCGTCCCTTTCTTCACCAGAAATTTCATTATGTTTCGTTGTTCTCCTTCGTACACATCTGCTTTCTTACCCGCCATTTGGCTTCGGTAAAGCGTACCACGTGCTGAGTGTCATCATCGTATGTATGGCTGCAGAAATACGTTCCTTAACCTTGCTTGAAAGTGCCGTCTTCCCAGCAGTTATCCTGGTTTCATTTGAAGAATCCTCCTATCATCTGCATGAAGCTCTAGGAAAATGTTGGAAGCTTAATCATTAACCCTTTAAAGAGTGAGTTTTTTCCACATGACGAACCCCGTCCGGAGTGAGTTTTTCCGGGAATGTATTGGTTTCCACTGATAGCCCAGAATATTGCGTTCGATATGAAAGGAGTTGTGTTAGGTCCTTTTAACGGCGACATTCCCTTCCGGCATGATATAGTCTGATCCTGCTGATAGGTTCATACTGGCACCTGTACAGGCTAATAGAGAAAGAGCAATGGTCTCAAGACTGAACCCTGCGGCCTCCAATGGGATGGATAATCAAGGCTGTGTAAGTACTGCCATTGAGGTCACGCGCACCCTGTTTCCAGACAGATAATTAGGAAGTGAAGAAGAGTGGCGTAACTGGGAGGAAGGGGGGAGATGAAAGCCCCGCATTCAGCCTCTCTTGCTCGTTCCCGAACAACAATATGGATGAGGTCCAACATTCGTGACACGAGCATCTGGGTGCTGACATCCCCAACAAAATTACTTGCGTTTCTAGAGTATTTGGCCAACATATGCTGAGAAAGTCCGCCTATTTTGGAAAATAGTCGATCAGTTGTGTCAGAAAATTACATCTTTCAGTAGCGGCCCTTTACATTTTAGATCGAATTAAAATCTACTCGCTATTGTATAACAACACCTTACAGTTGGCTTGAATGGGCGAATCAGGGCCTCCCTAATTCTGGTTTGACTTCCCCAAAAATGAGTTCCTGGCTACGCCACTGGTGAAGAATGCAGGGTCATTCCATCTCAAGTGCTCCAATTCTGGAATTAGCTCAGAATAGCATATTTGCTCTAGACTGTCATGGGGAGAGCCGCAGCTGACAGTCATGATATGGACATGGGTAAGAGTGTATAGCTTCATCGTAGAAGAAAGCGTTTCTTTCTTCGATAAGCGGTGTTCTTCTTGACGAAGAGTTCCCATAGCACATTTCAGGTTGAACCATTGGGCTTTAAGAGTCATGCATGGACTCCAAAGTTGGTAATCTTTGTTACTTCCCGAAAAACTCGGGTTCGTCAAGTTTCACACAGTCAAGAACTTTCGGAGATCTGGTTCTGTCGTAATGGTTCAGTAAAACCAGGAATGTAGTCCTATTGAATAAGTTACATATTTTCTACATCCATGAAATTGGTTGTTTGTAGCAAATGTGCAACAATAACATTTTCGGGCCAAACTACTTACACCAGTGGTGCCCAATTCGTGGCCCGCGAGGTGTTTACAAGTGGCCCGCGAAGCCCTATCCCACAATAAATACCCTTAGGTTTCCTTAAAATAGTCTCCTACAATACTGGCCACAATAGTGACTGGCCCGCGATGGCTGCGGGAGTGAGCTATGTGGCTCCTTAGCCAAAAAGGTTGGGCACCACTGACTTACACATTTGAGGAATGAATTTTCCCCCCACTTTTCCTGTTTTCTAGGACCAAAGTAAAACCTACCAATTTTTTTTTAGTCGAAAAATAAAAAATCATGCATTAAAGAATTAAAATTCAGCTCCTCCATGAATAATGGCCAGGAATAAAACCTCCATGAATAAAACCAACCAGGAAAGTTAAAATTCAATTTAGTTACACATGACCAACTGCAAAACATACGATAGAACCTAATTCCAAGAAAAAATTTTGATTTGAAATCAAGAAATGAAACATTTTTTCAAGTTGTTCTCAAGTTGCGTTTCTGTGCGGAAAAAAATATGGATTTTTTTTTAAATAGAAAAAAATCAATAATAGCCAGAAAGACTGAACGTCAATCAATAGGCAAGCCAAATGTAAGCCTTCCACCTCAACAAATAAAGGAGAAAGATTTTTACTTGTAAAAACTAGCTAACTGAGAATATGAGGTTCTTGGACATTACATACACGTGTTTTTCTGAGGGTTCCATTTTTAAAGCGCACAACAATAGGTTAAAGGTTAAAAAAAAGAAATATATATAAAATAAATCGTCCATGTAGAGAATGTGGTTCATGCAATGGTCTGCATTCTTCCCCTTTCCTACGTAATAACCACAGCAATCTTGGGCACGGCCAGCAT